CATGAAAACACACAAATATATTTGGCCCCTTTATTGTACAAGCACTGAAAGAATAAAAAGGAATATCTCATGATCTATTATGAGGTTGGTAGGGTATTTGTTTTTTTGTGAGAAAAAGACCTGTTAAAAAATACTGTCAACAAAGTAGCTAATTCCAGGTAATTACACACCACACCGTCTTAATTATATGATAACTTAAATACTTAAGCAGTCAGATAATCTCAGAAAGATATTTTGAGACCTTAGTAAGGTAATTTCTGAAGTGATGTGTTGTGAAAGTGCTGTTTCCAACCCTACAGAGCTTTATCAGGCTGCACAACATGAAATCAAAGGAGTGACTGGTGGGTCATTCCTGCATCTATATTATACTGTAATGTAGGGTATTTTGTTCTTCCATATATCTTAAAAATATTTGTTATGTCAGTGCTGCATGTTATTTTCCAGAGCTTTTGAAAGCTCTGAGATCAATTGCATTAGAAAATGTCCTGTATTTATCATCATGGGATGTATAGCACTAACTGTCCAGTTTTACTTTTGACTCTGTAAATGCATCAGTGTTTTGTTGTTTCTTATTAGCAATTTTTCTTAATACAAATCTTTCAGCATTTTTTCCTCTCTTCCCTGTTTCCCCCATTTTCACTGGTAAGATCTTCATCTGGGCTGTGACTGTGTATGATCGGAGTATCAATCCCACAGCAGTTTTTGTGGTCTCTTTTTCTGTATTATTCTCAGATCATACCACCATGAGAGAGTTTACAGTTTATTAATATTTTATTACTAGTAATTGTAAAGTGACTTAACACCTGCAAACATTGAAGTATTTGCCAAAGTGTGGTCCATTTTAAGTCCACATAACTCCATAGGATGTAAATGTTAATGATGGCCTGGTGAAGAAGTAACCTGGTGCAAGTGACTGAGTTCCTCCAGCAGATTGTGTGACAGAAAACCCACCCTCCTGGATATAGGCAGGAGTTTAGGTGGGTACTTCCCATGTTGTCCTGGACACTGCCAGGCTTGCAGTGAGCAGAGCTCAGAGCAGAGACACCTCTCTGTGACTGTGCAGTTTGCACCTTGGCCCCGTGCCCAGTGGGACTGTGTTCCAGAAGCTGGTGTTTGCATCTGGAAAAAGCTGTGCCTGGCTTTCCTTGGTGACAAGCAAAGGGATGCTGCCCTCTGGCACAGAGCGGTGCCCCTGGAGATACCCAGCCATGAGGGGCGTGCTTTGACTTTTGTCTTTGTGCCAAAAACATGACGTGCAATCTCCTGCCAGCTGGGGTGTTCTGATCTTAGGTAAGACAGTTCCTTCTTGTGCCTTCAGTTCAGCCAGGCCCTGGAGTGCACATATAAATGGGTTTGTTCAGCTCCAGTTAGAAGCAGTTGAAGAGCTCAGTGTGAACTGATGGCACCACGGCCTGAAAGCCATTCTGAGATTTGTATTAGTGATGATTCCATTTAACCATTTTTCTGTAGCTAAGGGGTGTGAGAAGGAGAATCTTTTTTGTCCAAAGAATCAATAAAATATTTTCAAGACAACTGTCACTGCAAGATACTAAAATACTGGCAGAAATAACTTTATATCAAAGGGCATAGATAGAAGTTGGTGGGGGTTTTTTCTAATTTTGAATAATTTTGGTCATTTAAGCATTTTTTACATCACTTTTCTTTAAAAATTTTGTTAATAATAAGTCAGTAAGGGACAAACTAATTTTTATCAAATTAGGGGTGAGCTTAGGGGTGAGCTGGCTCACAGGTTACCTGCTACCAGCTGGTAGCCCATAGTGAAATAGGTATTAAGAAATCTTAATAAAGATCTTAGGAATTCTGCCTTTATTTGATTTTACCTAAGGAGAAAAGGTCTACAGAATCATACACAATTAGAACATTGATAGATCATCTGGCCACTTTGGGAGAAAATCAGGACTATCTATACCTATCCTGCATTGCTTTTTAATTTGTGAACTGAAAATTCAAACCACTCTATGGCCCCTTGTTTCTTGTTTTTTTAAATGGTCTTTTGTATGCCTTTCAATTGGTAGGCACAGAGTGACTGTACATTTTTTCTGCCAAGAACCACCTTTCTGTCATCTTTGGCACAAGTGTTCAAACCATGAACACTATGTCAATAGGTAAATAAATGACTAGTCGGTGTGGGGTTTTATTGCTATTTGTCTCTGATCAGCTTAGAGAGAATGCTCCTGTTTCATTTCTGAAAGTAATCCAGTCAAATTTCATTAATTTTCTCTCATATTATCTATGCTGTTTTTTTAAATGTCCTGTTAAGATTAAGAGTTCACCTTTCCTGGATACACACTAAAAAAAAGCCACATAAAGTAGTTGTAAGGCTGCATCAGGAATGTTTTTTAAAATAGGACTGAAACCTCTCTCTCTGAAAATTATTAGACTGAAGTATTGTACAGACATGTTTGCTGCTTCATGTCTTCATCATGTTGTTGGTAATTTACTTAATTACATAGCTTAATGAAGTTCTCATACTATTGCCTTTTACCTGACAAATAACCCAAAATTTTTAGTTATTAATATTCAAGTGCACATTCTTTATATTTTACTTTACATTTTTTTCAGTTTGCTCCTATTAGTCCTCACGGTCATCCAGTTCTTCCCATATATTGTCTTATTTTTTTCCCAGCTGATTTTAATAAAGTATTTCAACTTTGGTTCCAGTGCTTAATGGAAAATATTAAAATTGCTTACACAATCAAGCCACAAGTGATCTCCATTGAACATGATATGACCTTTTTCCCGCTGTCTTTTGCTATCTCCTCATTCTCTCCAGAAACAACCAGTTTCATTGGTTATTTCATCTGTGGACCAGTGTCACTGTTTACTGAAAATGGCTGGATGTGACATGACTTAAAAAAATCAAAAATAAAAAAACCTAAATCTACCAAACACCCAAAAATACATAGAAAAGGGTAGCAGGTTAATGCTGGATAACCTGTGGTTTTGTCTTTATTGCAAACTGAAAGGAAACCACATGAAATCACCTGTGATCCTTTTCCCCCTTTGCTATGTGTGGGTCTCACTTTTTCTTGTGTTCTTGCTTCACACATAAAGCTGAGCATGTCTTTATTTTCATGTCCTTTATGTGGTGTAGCACCTTTTGTGCTTTGTACCCTTTTGGACGTATTTGGATATGCCTTTGCTTAGTAATATGTTTTCCTGCTTCTAGAAATGCATCTTTTGAGGGTGGTATTTACTAGAGTCCTTCCTTAAAGCCTTTTTTAACTTGTTGGAGCAGTAATTTCCATGTTGTTTTATCCACTTTTGCTTTAAGGAAATTCCATTCAGAAACTCATTCAATTAATTGTCTCACCATGCATTTTTTCCCAATGACCATTTCTTTTGTAATGATGCATGCAGATTGTTTAGCTCCTCCAAAAACACGTAGGAACTGCTGTGTGCTGATGACTCTGTGGTGGCAGTGCAGCTGAGAAAGATCTTTACTGGTAGATCAGACTGGAATTTTCTGCTCCAGTGTTGTGTGTTTTTGTAGCGGTTTGTCACTGAGAGCTTATAGCCCTTGTCTATACAGTGTGTTGAGCTGGAAGTGTTCTGGGTGTACACACTGACATTGCTGAAAGGTCATCTCTGGCAAAGAGATACCGTGGCCTTTGGCAGCTGCAAAGTCAGCAAACGCTCAGGGTTTGTGCTGAATGAGAGCCTTCCCAAGGCTGTGCCGCTTCCTGTGCTGCCAGGACGTGTGACACCAGGTCACTGTGAGGAGCAGCTCCTTAGAGTGTGCGTGGACATGGATGGAGGCACATGGGACACATGGCTCACCCCGTGTCTGGGTCAGTGAGGGCATTGATGCTTTAAGGGCAAATTAAATTCCTGTTTCTGAAGAGCAGAGATGCCACTTGTCGGCATTTCCTGCAGCTGCATCTGCCGCTGGCTCGGGACAGGCAGTGGGACAGTGTGAGACACCGCAGGCCGGGGGAGAGGCATCGCTGGGTGGGAAAACAACGCTTTTGGACAAGGAGAAAGCACAGTCACAGAATGGGTCAGGCTGGAAGGGACCCCAGACGGTCACCTGGTCCCACCTCCCTGCTCAGGCAGGGCCATCCCAGAGCACGTGGCACAGGATTGTGTCCACACGGTTCTGGATTATCTCCAGTGAAGGAGGCTCCACAGCCTCTCTGGTCTCTGCTCCAATGCTCGATCACTGCATAGCAAAGAAGTTCTTCCTCATGTTCGAGTGGAATTTCAGCTCCTGCCCGTTGCTTCTTGTCCCACTGCTAGGCACGCCCGAGCAGAGCCTTGTCCGTCCTACGCTCCTCTCTGGATATTCATACAGAGCAGCGCCGATGCTGGAGCGGGGCTGCTGCCGCCCATCCAGTCCCGATCCAATCTCGTCCCTGATCCCGTCCCGATCCGATCTCGTCCCCTGATCCCACCCCATCCGATCCCGTCCCATATCCCATCCCCATCTCCATCCCCTCGCTCCTATCCCTATCCTATCCCTATCCCCCTTCTATCCCCTCGCTCCCTCTCCCCGCCCTGTTCCCCCCGCCCGGCAGGGGGCACTTTGCGGGGGGCGTGGCTGGCGCGGCCGCGTTTGCGCTTTGCGGTCGGCTGTAAAGCAGCGCCGGGTGTCGCGCGGGGCCGCGCTGCGCTGGGAGCGGCGGGGGCTGCGCCAGCAGCGCCGGGGCCCGCCCGGGGCAGCGCCGGGCCAGGAACAGCGCCGGGCCGGGAACAGCGCGGGGGCTCGGTGGGGAGAGCGCCGGGCTCGGTGGGGGAAGCGCGGGGGCCGCTCCCCCAGTCCGGCCCTGCGCAGCGCGCCCGCGGCACCCGCCCCTTCCCCCTCGGCCTCGCTGTCTCAGGTACGGGGGGCGGCGGGGCCGGGTAGGGGTCCCTGATCTCCTCTGTTCCCCCCGGCCGCCCCCCGAGGGCGGCGGGGCCGGCGGGGCTCTGCGGAGGGGAGCACTGCTCGCAGAACGTGTTTTTCCCTTTTTTCGAGGCGCCTCGCTGACGCACAAAGCGGTGCCTGCACCGCGGGCGGCCGCGGCTCTCGGGGTTTGTCACGGAGCTGTCACGGATTTTCCCCGCGCGGAAATGGGTTTTTATTGCTGTGCGGAGCAGGGGTGGTTATGACGTCATTTGTTTTGTTGGCGAAGTTGGTGTTCCTTTAACCCGTGTTATAAAAAACCCTCGTTGTCAGGTGTTTTGTGCCTGGCAAACAAGGGAACCGCGTCCATTCAGAGGTGTGGACCGGGATTCCAAAGGTACGTGGGCTAGGAACTGCTGGAATGGGCTGCGGACTTCTTTAAGTGTCAGTGTTTTGGTGGTTAGGGCTGAGCATTCGTGGGATTTTCATGGTATTTGAGCTCTTCCATGGCTCGAAATGGTTTTAAATCAGAAGCAAGGCCTGGTTGCTTTAGCAGATTAAACGAGACCCTCAATTCCTGCGAGCCGAGTGCTCTTCCAAGAGAGGACATAAAACAGGAAGGAAGAATTTGTGTAATAGGCCGATTTCATTTGGTTCTAATGCAGTTACTTCAAAAGCAAGTATTTGACCAAAAAGAAAAGAATTGACTGCTCATAGTGGAGACCTGGATAGCAGATGATATTTGTAATTTTGGAATATATGTGTTATAAACTGTTAAAGGAAAACTAGGTTTTTAGGTGCAGAACAAGGCCTTACATTGTCTTTGTTGCAACCAGTAGAAATTTCCAAAGATAGATTAATTCTGGATACTTAGTAGAAACATTTCTGAGGAAAATTGATATTTAGATAGTTAGAATGCTTTGTCACTCTTAAAAACAAAAGTTAAAGGTCCTTACAGGTGACATATCTGTAGTTCTTGCTATCAGAGAGGTTTTCCAGCACTTTAAGTGTTTCTTTTCTTACCTTTGTTGGATAAAGGGACTACCCTGGGCTGGGGGAGGACACAGAAAAACCTTGTTAGTCAAGATGATTCTTGCTGATGTGTAGTGATTGATAAGGACAGATGGAATCTTAGTTCATTTGATAAAGTGAACATCTACTTGTCTTATGCAGCCATTCACAGTATGGAATCACCTCTGGAATTCATTAGTTGGAAAAGGCTGGGAGTGTACATTTTGCATTTCACCTTAGTTCAGTAAAAGTGTGTAAGACACCAAGCTCCCTGTTTGAAAACTCTTGAAGTCCTGTATATTTACAAACCTGTTTATTTTTGTTGATGGTTGAAGCCCTGGCAGCTCCAGCTGTGGTTGTGTGTGGAACCGGGAGCCTGGGAGTGAACAACAGCTCACAGTGTTCATGCGTGTTTTGCATGTCCTTTTAGAGTCTGGATGGGAACATTCTGACCTTTCAGAACTGTGTCTTTTATGAAGCAATGGATTTTGTACAAGTGTATTAAGAGTGTGTCTTAACATGTCTGTGACTTGTACTTTATCTTTAAATTAATAACTTTGCCGACCTACATGACCAGATCAGTCGGAGCGGTTGACTTTCAGTGGAGGTGGTTGTGCTGCAGTAACATTGAGCTGGCAGCAATTGCTACCTTTTTTTTCCAAGATGGAGAATCTTTCATTTCAGTTGCTTGTATTTCCTCTAATGGTGAGAACATTCTTTTGAGAAGATGTGGGTGACAGTGACCTCTGTCCTGACTGGTGAACTATGGAGGCTTGGATGTCAAGCATTTTAAAAAATGGGGAAAAAATGAGGGGGGAGTGAGGGTGGGATGGGGAACAGGAAGATTTGGTTCACATATAAACAATGGAGATTACAGAGAGATGGATTTGCCAGAGGCTGATGTTGTATAAGGATTTCTCCACAGCTTTACTTGTGTGCAGCCTCCTTTCGGTGAGTTTTATCACCAGATCTGTAGTGGTTTGGCTGTTTGCGTGTCAGTAAGGTTGGGAACAGATTTATAAATGTGTATATTTAGTGATGTTGTATGGGATACATGTGCATCATAGAGCCAGGAGAATTGTTCCCAGTCACAATCTCCCAAGTTTTGTCACTGTAGGTGACAGTGATCAGCTGGTTCCAAAGGCTGTAGTGCTCTTGCAGAAAACACAAACTGTCTGCAGCTGAAGTCTTTACCTTGGGACCTTCCTTCAGGCTTAAGTATAAATTAGTGTTTTTCTTGGTGGGCCCCTCAGAGAACCCTGATAGAGCAAAGGGGAAAGAAGAAAGGAAAATGCTTTTTTCACTAATCCAGATTTTTGCTAACAAGATAATTTTGCTGTTTTATATAGTTCATGCCATTTGGAAAAGTGATTGCTATAAATTAAAATGATGTCTTCCTTATTAAGTGTTTACCAAGTGAAATCTGAGAGGGCTGGTTGGTGACTTTGCTAGCAAGAGGCAGTAAAGGCTATTTGCTTCTGCAATTTATTTTTTGACAATAAAATGCAGTCATAATAGTTGACTGCTGTTGGGTAAAATGTTTACTCTTACTCTCTACCCCTTGATTCCACTGGTGAGGAGTGGAGAAGTTTACTGCATTGTCCTTCCCTCAGAAACTGGTAGATCTACTTAGTTTACTATCAAAAAAATCCCTTCCTTGTCACAGGTTTCCTGAAGAACAGCATAAGACTGTCCTAATGGTTCCTTTCATGGTTCTCACTCGCAAGGTTCTTGTTAGCAGTTGTGGCAAAGGTTGTCTTTTACTTTGCTCCTCAAAGCTTTATCAAGAAGTGTTTGCAAGATGACGCTGCATGAAGAACAGTTATACACACCTCAAAGTCAGAAAGCCAGGAGAATAAGAAATATTTTTAAAAATAATTTTTGGTGGCCATGTAACTTCCCTAGCTGTCTCTGGAAGCAGAAATCCTAGTTAAGATCCTAACCTCCAATAAAAATTTACATTTTTTCATCATTCTCCTATAAAGCTACAACTTTTCATTCCCAAGTTCATTGCTGTTATGTTTGTCTTGGAGTTCATTGAAGCCAAAACATTTCTGATTGCCAAATCATAATGCTTGTGTCTAAAGGCCTTGATTTAGGTAGTGTTAATGTAGGTGAGTTTGAGCCTGGGACAGAACAGAGAAGTGTCGAGACTGAAGAATGTCCTTGTGAACACCATGTTTGTCCAAGGTTGTGTCCATCAAGCAAAGCCACACACATTCCCTGCCCAGGTGGGATGTGCTGATGCTGGAGCAGCACTGGGATTTCTGTGGGTGCTTTATGGCCTTGGGGAGTCTCAGTTACTGTGGGACAGTCACCTGCTGCGTGTAGGACTGTACAGGAGAACTCACCTGCTGCTTGTAGGACTCTGTAGAACTGCTCTTGGCCCCCCAGCTCATGTACCTGAGGCATTTCACGGACACACTCTGTTCATTCTCTCTGTTCCATCTGGAGGAGGCCATAGATCTGTCCTATGCAAGAGCTCTTCTGTTTGTAGCTGTCCTGTGCTGGATTCTGGTAAAACAAGGGAGAGACACTTTAATAGTCTCTCTGTGAGAATCAAGTGGTGTTAGATCTCAGAGTTGAACGGCAGTGTGGCATAACAGGGGCATTCTGTACCTGTCCTGTAGGTGGCCTGACATTTCTGCTGCAAGGTATGAATTGGCTTACGCATGAGGAAACAAACCTTGAAGGTCTCAGGGTTTTTTTTCAGGGATAAAGTTGAGGAGGCCTTGCTGGTGCAGAGGATGGACACTGCTCATTACAGTGCTTGACAGCACAGGTACTGTGGGCTGACTTCGAGGTGGCTTTGCCAAGGTTAGTGAGAGTACTACTGTACTTGAAGTAACGTCGTTTCACTGCAAGCCAATGATGGTTCCTGGAACTGGCTGCAGAGAGTGGATAAGCCTCCCTGCACCGCTGTGGCTCGTGTAGCGGTAGCACCTCTCTGCAAAGCACAATCAAACCATTCTGTCCGGGTGGATGTAAAAGAACTGGCTTTGGGATTCTATGAACAAGAACCTCTTTCCAGAACCTTATAATACAGTTAGTAACTAATACTGTGTGTGTTGTTCTGCAATACTGTACATTTCTGTAGGGCAAAAGAGAAGGATTCTGCTTGGAGAATTCTCAAGCAATTCTGTCATCCAAGAGTTGGAATCACGACTGTGGCCACATAAAAGCACAGAAAGGAAATTGAGAGTGGCATTTCATATTGTCCTCTGAATAAAGATGTATTTGCCACATAATATCAAAGCAAACATAATGGAATTTCTGATACTTTTATATGTTTATATGGTGCTATTTTATAAAATGCATAGATTTTTAACTTATCAGTTGCTTTATTTTCTGGCAAAGATTAGAAGACCAATATATAATATGCTAAAATTAGGTTGTTAAAACAAGCTTTAAAAGAGCACTGTTTGTCTCATGAAGAGGTAAAAATGAAGAACAACTGAAATGCAATGCAATAAAAGTTTCAAAATCTGATTGCACTTCTTTTCCTGATAGTGGAACTGAATATTGGATATTTTTCTTTCTTGCTACTTACCCTGCATTGTGCAGATTGTCCCTGCTTGATAGAAGTGAAATGAATAGGGCATGACTGGCTCTTTTAGGCTAATGAGTGTTGTTTTTGTGAACTGCTCAGTGAGTTCTTTATCTTTGTTGGAGCAGGGCATGACAGCACTGAGACTGGATCTTCATGGGATTGAGTTGGGGATGCAGCCCCTGAAATGGCTCCCAAGTCTTGTGTCAGCTTCCGCTGTGTCAGGGCTGGACACAAATGGGTCTTGTCTGGCTCTCTGCCCTGGAGATGGGGAGGTAGCAATACTTGGGTTGTCTCACTTTTGCTGAAGGCCTTGTATGAATTTTGTAAACCTTTTCATTTTCCTTTTTCTTGATGTATCTAATGGAAAAGCCTAAGAATACAAGTTTTTAATGAGAGGAAAGAAATGACTGTTGGTTTTCTAAAACAAGACTTGTGTGATGCTTTTGTTCCTGGTCCTTTCTTTGAAGGCCATGTTTGCAGGTTAAAAAAAGTCCTGTGGTAGGAACAGGATACACAGTGTAATTTCTGTGCATACCAGATCTTAACAGTGAGGTTTGTCATGAATTTAACAGCACCAGTATTACCTTGTCAGAATCAAAATAATGTTCTAAGTAAAATCTGATACAAACCACATATTAGGGAAGGGAATTAATTTTAAAAGTTAGTTGTCAGTTCAGTGACCATATGCAAAGAAAACAAGAATTAGGACTGAATAAAGGAACTACAAATGCAAGGACGTGGCTTCTTGATGGTGAAGGGAATTGACTGTGTTTTAAAATACGGATACATTAAGATACATTTTCAGAATAATTATGTATTAAATCACATGTATTCACTAAGTTTATGCCAAAAAAATTAGTTATATGCTGTATAATTAAGCATTTCACTGTTTTATAGTGCTTTAATGCTGCATATATTTTGATTGCTAATAAAGCAATTAATTATTAATGACAAAATACTTTGCTCCATCTTATAACTCAAATGCTTTAACATGTGATCATAAACTTTCCTGCTGTAAAGATCTCAGACTTTGACTTACAGTTTCAAGGGACTTCCCCAGTTTGCATCAATTTTCTTGCACTGCTGTGTCTTGGCCTGAATAATAACAATGGTTTTTATTTGTGACATGAATGGATAGGTCACATGCACTTTGTGATTCTAAGTAGTCATATACCTTAGAGGGGAACTTAGAATAACTATTTATAGCTTTGAGGTACCTGTCTTAACAGCTCCTCCTTGAGTTGTAATGGCTTAAAATAAGATACTTCCCCATTTTTCCTCTCAGAGTTTTCATTCACTACATCCATAAGCAAGTGTTTTCATTAGGAAGGAGGAACACTAATGCTGACTGAGTTTACTGCATCTTGCTGCTTTTTGAAAAAGCTGCTGAGGACTTTTAATTAGAGATAGGTTTTGTAGGATCTTCTAAATATTTACCAGCAGATGATCTCATTCTAATGACTATTTCCATAGTATTTTTGTAGATCCCTTTTGAACTTTGTCTTCTGTGTAAAAGAACATACTGTGGGTATTTCTTATGTGTAACCACTGAAGCTACTTAAAATGCATTGAAATCTATTTAAATGGTGAGCTGTTCTTCCAGGTTTTGTCTCTTTTGGTCCTATTTCTTGTTTGAAAGTTTGTGATAGCATTTCTGAGTAGTGAAGGAATGGATTATTTTTCGTTCTTGATTGCTGTCATTCAATTCCAAAACGTATTCCTGTTTAAGCTGTTGTGTAATGTTGTAGTTGGGAGTCAGCGGCTCTCCCCTGAGCAAGCAGTGTTTCAGGCTCTGTGCTGGTTAGCAAAAATGAAGAGTTCTTCATTCCCTGCTTGAGTTACTGCAGACTTTTCCATGGTTGTAAGAGTGAAAATATGCAAAATGCTTGGATCTGTGTTAACTAGTGAATCTAGGCTGTCTGTTGGAATAAAACTAAGCCAGTAAATAGTGGTTTAGATGCACTATTCACTGTGTGGTAATTTCAGCTTTTTGTCATCTTACAGTAGTTTGAGGTTTCTCAAAGTGTAAATGTCGTTGCTTTCATTTTTTGGCTGTAACTTACATAACTATATCTGTATTTCAGCACAGTGCCCTCTGTGCTACAGTAAACAGAGCTTATACCAAGTTAATCACATTCAGAATGCAGAATTTTCATACTGATGGAGATTTCTCCACTAGAGTTTAGCAATGAAACTGGGGAGGAACAGAGTCCTTTGTAAACCAGCCCCTGATTGGGAGGGAAAATGTTCAGGTTTTTGTTGCTTAAAAAAACTTCAGAATCAAATAGAATTGTCCCCTTAATTTATCATGTTAAAAGGACAGGAAACAGTGTGTATAGGCTGGACATGGAATACAAGATGGCAAGTTATGACTGTGTTCGAAGACAATAAGCTTCCTGAATAAAATAATATTTTTCCCCCAAATTGAAATATTTTGTGGATTTTCTAAAAGACACTTGTGATGAAATACAGGGTTATTGTAGGAGAGTCTGGTTTGCTTTTGGACTGTGGTGAAGGTTGACTAGACTGAGTGTTACATTTCTGTAAAACAGTGGTGCATAAATAACAGCAAAAATCCTGCCTTAAAGGTGACCTTGTGAGGATGAGAGAAAGGACTGTGCACTGCTTGTTCTCTGTGTGCTTGGAACAGGTTTGAATGCAGAATTCCTGTCCTTGTTAGAAATTCTATAAAATGGAAGCCTTGGTCTTAATTTTTGCAAAGAAAGGTAGTCCATGTGTGAGGGTACAGGCAAGCATGGGGAGTGTGAGAGCTGGTGTTTTCCTCAGGAGCTGTCAGGAGCAGAGAAGGGTAGATGGCAGAGTTCCACAGTTCCAGCTGTTGTCTTTGTTTGTTGTGTAGATTTCTTCCGCTCTTAATGTTTATTCCAAGTTCTTTTCAAATTTTTGAACCTCATTTTTTCAGTCCTAAGAAAGAAGGTAGCCTAATATACTGCATTCCACAACAACTTACTGCTAAAAGAAAAAACATTGTGCTTTAATGAATTGAAATGAAGAGCCTGTCCTGTTTTCTAGACTGACAAGAAGAGGTTTAGTCCAGCTTACATGCTGTTAGTTTTGACTTTGATGGAAGACATACCAACCTGCTGTAATTCCAAAGAGAACAGCAACACTTTCCTGCTTATCCCAGGATATAGGCCCACATTTAACAATTGTCAGAGATGTTGGTAGGACTTCCAGTGAGAACATTCAAATGGGTCTTTTCAACTGGGGCCCTAGGATCCAAAAGATCCTTGATCTCCAGAAAGATCCAGTGATCTTATGGCTTCTTCAGATTATAGTACTGCAGCATATATACCTTTTGCAAAATTTTTATTTCAGATTACATCCCATGAAGTAGTAGATTAGTTGCTTATGGCTATGAAGAGAATACAGGCTGCCTGGGATGATGCATCAATTTACACCCTTTGCAAACTGAAATAAGTAATTCTTTGGGGTCTCTTAGGAGAAGCCAGCTCACAGCTGCTCCTGGATGCATCATTTAGTGGAACAGTCTAGAAAATTTTGATATGAATTTTTTTTCTGTAGTCTCAGTCTTGTAGTGCTTTGTTCTATGATGAAATGAATGAGAGCTATAAATATTAGCACTGGATGTAAGAATGCACTGGCATTTTGAAGATTTTGGAGATTCAGGCAGAAGATTATGGACCTGAATTAGGCAGTGCTGCTTAACCTGCCATAGATCAAAGAATTATCATGGGATGGTTTGGATTGGAAGGAACCTTCAAGCTCATCTAGTTCCAACGCCCCTGCCATGGGCAGGGGCACCTTCCACTGGACCAGGTGCCAAAGCCCCATTTAACTTATCCTTGGACACTTCCAGGGATGGGGCAGCCACAGCTTCTCTGGGCAACCTGTGCCAGGGCCTCACCACCCTCTCAGGGAAGAATTTCTTCCCTTTAACTAATCTAAACCTGCCTTCTTTTTGTTTGAAGCCATTCCTTCTTGCCTGTCCGTGCTCATGTCCACAGTCCCTCTCCAGCTCTCTTGGCCCCTTTATAGAGGAGAAGGTGCTGTATGGTCTTCCCAGAGTCTTTTCTTCTCTGAACAACCCAGCTCTCTCAGCCTGTCTCTGTATCAGAGGTGCTCCAGCCCTCAGAGCATCTTCATGGCCTTCCTCTGGACTCACTCCAGCAGCTCCACATCCATCTTGTGCTGGGGACCCCAGAGCTGGACACAGCACTCCAGGTGGGGTAAAGAGGGAGAATCTCTTCCCCTGACCTGCTGGCTGTGCTTTTTTTGATGTAGCTCAGGATGTAGTTGACTTTCTGGGCTGCAAACACCCATTGCCAAGTCATGTTGTGTTTCTCATCTGCCAGCACCCCCCAAGTCCTTCTCCCCAGGGCTGCTCTCACTCCATTGTCTGCCCAGCCTGGATTTGTGCTTGGGATTGCCCTGGCCCAGCTGCAGGACCTTGCACTTGGCCTTGTTGAACTTGGTCAGGTTTGCACAGACTTTCCTGTCAGGGTCTCTCTGAGTGACTGTTCTTGCTGATATGTCAGACTTTTTTTGACTCCATGCAGATTCCTGCTGTGCTGCTCAAGGAACCCCATTTCCCTTTAGGGTGTAGTTGCACGTGTTTTCTTAAGCAGTTCTAAACTTCTGGTAGTTCAGCACAACTTGCTGTGAGCTGGGTGTAGCCGTTGGTGTGCATATATGATGAACTGAATTGGTGTCTGATCTTGCTGGAAAACCTATTTTTCAGATTGGTGAGCTCTTCATTCTGGTTCAGTGAATAAATATTCCTTCTAGAAGGGCATAGGAGATGTTTCTTCAAACAAGTGGGGGGGAAGAAGAGAGCACTTAACTGCTGAAGTAGTACAGCTGTCAAATATCTACTATAGGCTTATGCAGTTGAGGTATAAAAACATGATTATTAGTTGTAGTAACAAATATTTCAGTGGTTATCACAGTGGGAACCAAATGCTTGTATCACTTCCTGTTGGGCATTTTAACAGACGGCAGAGATGCCAGATGAAGCAGGTTGAAGGTGGATATATTACTGGGGTTACTGTTGTCTGTCTCAGTAGCTTTCTAATGCCAAAGTTATTCTTTTAAATAGTCTTTAAGGGTAACGTCGTATCGTTGTACATTGGCAGGTTTATATTTTGGCAGGGAGGGGAACCTGCCTGGTACTGACTGTTAAGGGAACATGATAGGATATGCTCAGTTTGTGTCACAGGATGGAGTGACAAGTACATGGACTGAAAATAGATTGGTACACTGTACTGCCAATGTCTGGTGTTTCTTAAAGACACTCTGGGTAATAAATGGGTTTCTGTTACTTTGCCCCAAAATAATAAAATTTCAAAATCTCTCCTGTTTCCTTCCTTTTCATGTCAGAAAAGAACCATGAATTATGAGTAACTGATTTTTATAGCTCAGTTGTCACCATACAACACCACGTATTGTGTTGAAGTATTTGCTGTCCATATTTACTGCTGTAGGGGAAGATGTGGGCCTTATTTAAGCCTGCAGTTTATTTGATGGCTATTGGAGCTATTTCCTCAAAACTCTGGTCGCTTCTATAAGCAATGGCCTGTAAAGCTTCCATGCTTAAGCATTGGTAAAGCAGATACCATACATTTTGCAGGTGACATACATCAACATTTTCACGGACTACAAGAACTTCCCTTCAACGCAAGTTCTAAGAGTTTTATCTTCATTAAAAATGACCTTGTCAAGCGGTATTCTTAATATTTTGAAGCAGTTGTATTTTGGATACTGCTGTTTTGCTGTTCCCACTGAGGGATTAGTCTTAGCGGTAAATGGGTTTTCTCTGTTTTTCAGTTTTGTTTTTGAAAAATCTCATGCTTGTTTTCTTGATGCTTATTTGTTTTATTTTCTAGGCCTTCCTTAAATCTTTCCATGTCTGAATGGACTCCTGAATGTAATATAGTCTATACTCCAGAAGCGGATATGAAGAGTGAAGTTCCTTCTGATGCACCAAAGAGCCAGGAGAGTCTGAAGGGGATCCTCTTGAACCCTGAGCCTATTGGGGCGGCCAAAAGCTTCACTGCAGAAGTCGAGATGATTGCCAGTAAAGTAGGGAATGAGTTCTCCCACTTATGTGGTGACTCTCAAAAGCAGAAGGACATGAATGGCAACCATACAGACCAAGAAAAAAGTATTGTGCGAAAAAAACGCAAGAGCCAGCAGGCTGGTCCTTCCTACACTCAGAACTGTCCTGATAAGGAAAACAAAGGAATCTTGGGATTGAGGCAGCATCTAGGAACACAGAGTGAGGACAATGACTCTTCTTTTAGTGACTGTATCTCTTCACCTTCTTCTAGCTTACACTTTGGAGACTCTGACACAGTAACATCTGATGAAGAGAAGGATGCTCCTGTCAGACACCCTCAGGCAGTGCTGAATCCTGCGAGCAGAACTCACAGTGCCCGGTCACACAAGTGGCCTCGCACTGAGGCAGACTCTGTGCCCGGATTACTCATGAAAAGGCCCTGTTTTCACAACAGCTCTTTAAGAAGGCTCCCATATAGGAAAAGAGTTGTGAAAACAGGCTCATCCCAGCGGACACAGAACCAAAAAGAACGGATTTTAATGCAGAGGAAAAAGCGGGAGGTGCTGGCTCGCAGGAAGTACGCGCTGCTGCCCAGCTCCAGCAGCTCCAGCGAGAACGATCTCAGTAGTGAATCTTCCTCCAGTTCATCTACTGAAGGGGAGGAAGACTTATTTGTGTCAACTGGTGAAAACCACCAGAACAGTACAGTTGTTCCTTCAGGTAAAGCTAAATCCTGAGTTATTTTTTATTAGTTGTCTTTCATCATGCACAGTAGTCTTTTGTAAGTTCTTTGGAGCTGTATTTGTGGTTTTGTAGAAGTTAATACTACAGATAGACTTACTGCAAGTAATATGAGCATTACAAAATAAATTCTGATGGGAAAAGTACATTCAGAGCTTACAGTAGAATTGCAACAAATCTAAAATCTTGAATGTAAAAGTTAATGGTTTCTGAACAATGTACTGGAAGGTTGCTCAGTCTGATTAGTCATGTGCTGCTGAGCTGATCCATTTTTTTTAGCTGCTGAACTGTATTAATTTTAGCTATTACAGCTTTGGTAACTGACTGTGGTAATAACAATTCTCTTTTCAGAACATAGAAATATCTGCTAGTACTTAACTGCATTTGAAAATGTAGAAAGCTATGACGAAAAAAAAGTTCATTGTGGTAAGAACCTGAAGTAGGAGGCAGTTGAAGGATCTTTAGTATTGGCATAATAAGAGAAAAGTATTGTATATGTATCACGTTTTACCTAGATAAACCCAGTGCAGTGATCTTGCAGTTGGTTTACACAGTTTCTTATCGAGTATATCTTGACACAGTATCTGAATGCTTCAATGTTTGGAGGAGGACTTTGGGGGGATGTGTTTGTTTGGTTTTGTTTTGTTTTCTGGGTTTATTTTTGTGGGGTTTTGTTTGGTTTTTTTGTTCATTGACGTATTTTATTGGCCTTCCTTTCATCTTAAATTCGTCAAGTGAAAGCAGTTGTGCATTTTTGTTTATTAGTTTAGCTTTTTATAGAGCATGAGGAAGTAGATAGAACACAGCATGGTGTTAATTTGTGCAACCATGTGTTTTATATAGTGACAAATACGTTTTAAAAAATGAAACCGTGGCTCAGACTGTGCTGATCATTCCTCATTTCTTTCTGTGACTGAAAGTACAAGGACAGGCTTAAAAAAAAAGGTGTGAATGTTTATGTTAATGCAGGATTTGTGCTTGAACAGATCCAGAGTCCTAAATGTAAATTATTGCTTGTTATTTGTTGCAAGAAATAACTTGTATGTTGGTCTTCAATGTGCTGTTTAAGCACAAGGAGTAAAATCTGTAATGTCAAATTTTTACTTATGCAGTGCTAGGGCTGCGTATAGAACTCTGAAGCAGAATTATTATTGCACAGCCTTAATTATCTTGATGCATATTTGTGGGGACAGAAATTAATTTTTGAAGCCTAAAAAAGTTACATTTGACGTGCATGTTTGAACACATTGAAGAATATGATTTGTAAATAATAAATGTTTGGGGATATGCACACATTTATATTAAAAAAAAAAATTTGGGGAAACTCATGGTAACACCTCTGTTTCCAGGTTAATAGTTTCTTATTTTCAGAGAGGGTGGAGTTTCATGTAACTGTAAAATGATGTAGGACACTAACAACTCTTTCACAGAGAAATGGAAAAGTCTGGTAGCTTAATTTTTATACTGCTTAAAAGCACACTGAATATATGAAATTGTTTCTTTCCATGTAATGAATGAAAATCCATACAGTTAATTTTAGATTAAAATACTGACATCAGCTGTAACTGAAAGAGGATCTGCTTTAAAAAATGTGTTCTGTGGTGACTGTACTTCAGCACTGACACTTGCAGGGAGCTCAGAAGCAGTTCTGGCTTAGAGTGTGTGAATACTGTGGGTTTTTTCCTAGTGGAAATACAAATTGATGGAAAGTTTTGAGCATTTTATTTACATTGCAGATAGAATGGGAAGTTGAGCAGACATCCTGTGTGAAAGTGCCCTGTTTTTAGCAAGAAAAAATGTGATTAACATTTTCTGTAGCTTTTTCTGCTGTTATATAAGGCATTTCTAGTTATTGAGTTAATTAGGACAGAAATGGGGCCAGCTGGAAAAATAGCTGTGCAGCTTCTCTGTATAGTGAGCAAGCACGATGGGATTCTGTAAGAGGAAAGAGTTGTGTTGATAGTAGTGCTACACTGGCTTGTTAATGATAGGGAAAATATTTTTGCTCTCCATTGACACATGTGCATCTGCTGAAATGACAAAATATACTGAAGGACAAATAACTTTTGCTAAGAATATGAGGCCTGTAGCACACATGTAAAAGTATTAGAGGACAGACTTAGGAAAGGAGGATAATAATAATAATAATAATAATAATAATAATCAGAAAACAATTAAAAAGGATGTGGTAATTGAATTTTTAATGAGCAGGCATCAAAATTATGTGATTTCTCTTGTAGCCTATTGAATAGCAATTTTTATTGAGAATATGTGAAAATATTGCTTTGCTTTGAATTTGGTGTTTAGATAAAGTTACAGTGCATTTAAAGAACACTGAATTTAATTACCGTATACTGTTTTGGAAAACATTTCTGATTGTTGCAAGAAATTAAATTAACAGATCTTTTTGATCAAGGAAGTGTTTAGTAGGTTGGTTCTTGTAGTTAATAAAACTTACTTGGCTAATTTCAGAAAATCATATGGATGGAGCTGTTTAGGGGGATTGTTTGTTTGTTTAACAAAACCTTTACCAAAAAACCCTCCGAACAGCACTATATAGGATTTTTCCTCCTTTTCCAACAGGGTTTCAGCTATTCTTCTGGTGAAACTTTGTGCTTTGGCAGTGTGAGAGTATTGAACAAGTATGTTCTGACACGTGGGAATGGGTTATATTGTTTTACCAACTGTTTGCCACAACAGGCAGTGCCCTCATTAAATCTGGGATGAGCAGCTGAAGCTCCTTCGGGAGACAAAGGGGACTTAGGGGCATAAGGACAATGTAGAACCCCTTGTGTGTAGTTTAATGATACAGCTGAAGGTGCAGGTGCTTTTAGGGGTGTGTATTCTAACTGGAATGTTGATCACTGGATTTTAATTGCAATACTGAGCTCACAATTGAAATGACAGAAAGCAGCAGCGTTTTTACTGTAAAACAAATTTTCATTCTGTGTTTTGTTTAGGTAGTGCAGAAGATTTTCTCTAACCCTGTGTACACACTTACAGAGATAATCCTCTTTTGACTTTGCTTCTAAAAAGTGGCAAAATTTCAACTTTTACTGTAGTTGTATCTCTGTAATGTTGCAATGCTTCTACTGGTATTTGGTTTTCGTCTTGGATCTAAAGGGATGGGAGTGCAATTTGGAGACAGTCTGCAGGGAAATTCAGCAAAAGCTAAAACTGGATCAAGTTTTTAGCCTTACTCTGATTTGGCAATAAAGCAAAACTCTGGAAAATGGGAAGGTGGTGTTAAAAAATGTGGGTAGAGTTTTGCATTGTCATAAGATGTTCACCTAATAGCACTTACAATTCCTTTGGGGCCTGACATGTTGTTTTACATTTTTGAGCAACTAGTGCTAGACAGGCTTCCTCTTTCCTTAGAGTGTAATGCTGATGAGAAGCTGCTCCAGATTTTGTTCAAAGCTGAGTTTATTCACAACTGTCCTCTTGATCCTCTAATGTGTTTGTTGTTTGTCTCCCCAAAAATGTTGAATATGGACATTTGATATTTCACAAGCCAGAGGCTGATGAAAATGTTAAGCATATACCACTTTATGTTCAGATTATTTTAACAGGTTTAAGATAAATAGGTATTAAGTGGAAATGAGCTGCCTGTTGTTAGAGTTGATTATTTTTCAGTTCCTTAATCCCTTCTAAATGGGATGCAGTTCTTTTCTCACAGTAACTGATGCAGCTCATAATTCCAGGCTGTTATTCCAGTAGCATTAGTGGATAAGGAAAGGAATAAGTATCCTGTTTACTGTGCCACCTAATGGGGAAGGGTCAGGGAAGAACTGGGAAGTGGTGAGGGATGAAGCACCTGGCTCTGTGAGCAGTGGACAATAATCAGTGCTGCTCTATCCATCTGCTGTGTGCTGGAGCTTTAAATAGCTCCAGTAATAAAAGTTAGTGTGGAATTCACTTCAGCACTTCCCTGTTGCTGCTGCAGCTTTCTGTGCTGAGAAGATGCTGCTCCTGGAATTGGGTTGCTGTGGCATTGCCCTCTGGACTGAGATTTATGTGCTTGGTTAAGAATGGTCGGTAGAGGTCTGAATTAGCACAGCTCAGGGTTGGACAGAATCCCTGGAATTCTGGTTGTTCACTGTCTCTTCCACCAGGGTGCAACCTCCTAAGAAATTTGTGTGTCTTTGGAAAATTTCTCCCATCATGCACAGCTATTGGAGAATATACTCCAAGTAAGTCTCAGGTACAGTAAAATTGTTATCATCCAACACTGAGGGAAAGGCAGGTTCTTTTAGGAGTTGGCAGCACTAAATCGTAGTAACAATTAAAGCTTTGTTTTCTTAGCAGGATATTATGATTTTTTGAGTAGAATGGCACAGGATTTCTACAAGCAGAATTCAGTTGTGCATCTATAAATAGCACAACACCAGATTTATACTACCACTTAAGTTATAATTTCCAATCACCTGGACCCTCTGCAGATCAGGTCAAGTCCTAACATGCAGTTTACTTTATCAGTACACCGATCATAATCTAGACTCAAACTGTGCAAAAGAACACGAGTCACTCACTCAGTCCTCAGAGGAGCAGATGGTGATGCTGGAGGTGTCCCTTGCCACCAGTGAGGGATGGGGGTCGCAGTTCTGTTCCAGGTTCCCACTTATAACTTGGAGCTGCTTGATTTTCCAGCCAGTGCTCTGTGTGATTTCAGCTTCCCTGTGGTGGGAAATCAACAACACCTGCTTGGCCGAGTGCCTGGGACCTCCAAGGCCAGCAGGGAAGGGAGGAATTGTCCTGGCGCCCAGGAATCTTGAGGATAATGGGGTGGAGGTACAAATCTGTTTGGTTTGTCTACTTGGGTCACAGGACCTTCAGAGCCTGAGAACGAGGGAAAGCAACCAGATAATGTGACCTGCTCGGGCAGAGGGTGGCTCTCATACAATGGTGCCAGTTGTGCCAAATGTGTTTACAGGGTTGAGGGCAGGGAGTGCCAGTCATACCTAGTTCAAGAAGTTTGAGAGTTAAGGGGGTACTCATTGACACTGGTCAATTATTTTATCCATTTCAGGCTGAAGTACTGTCCAGGTAATTACTTTAATTCAGAGCAAGAGGGGCTGTAGAGGCACGTGGTACCGACAGGTTTCAAAGGGATTCCACACACTTGTTGATAGTTGTCCATGAGCACTGACTGGACAATGAAGGGCACTCTGACATTGTTGTGGGTGCTGTGTGGTTTGAGGGGTTTTAGTTAAAATTTGTAGTCTGAATTTCCTGTTCTGACTGCAGAGTTTTGCAGCTGGCAGAGAGAATGTGGGACTGAGCAGACTCCTGATCTGATCCAGTGAAAGCCTGGAACTCAGAATAAGTCATCCCTGTCACTGGAACTTGGCTGCTTATTTTAAAGCTCTTCTAGTTTCACTTATGACTTGATCAGACTGTCTCATTTGAAACTGTGTATTGTAAAACAATTTCATTGTCTTACACGTAAGATTTAAACCAGTTAAACTCCATGTTAATTGCAAAACAAATATAAAAATACCCTCTATGAATGACAGCAATCAGTCAAACATAAACAACATGAGTGTAATACCCAAATTTATGTCCTTATGGGGTCCTTGTGTTGATGATGATTGATTAATCTCAGAGTTAGGCCATGATCTTTCAGAGTTAAATAATAGTATAATTATATATATTATACATGTTATACTGTGCAAAGCTTAGTCTCTTGCTTACAACTTCTGGATTACTAAGGCATTTGATTCCAAACTTTGCTTCCCAGCAAGTTGGTCTATCAGTGGCACCTGGCAGCTGCTGTTCTGAAGTAATCTTACAACTTTCTGGGGAAAAATAGACTAATTTCCCGATCTAAATGTTTGACTATAGAGTATTATATTATTATAAAAGTTATATTCTTCTTAATAAAGTATTTTAATCTGTCTTTGTGATGGGAGGCCTGGGGGAGGGTGTGGGTTTTTATTTTTTTATTTTTTTATTTTTGAGGGAGGATTATAGTTTGGCACATGTTCATATTTGAATTCAAGCATGTGTAGTTTATCCCTTCTTCCAGGCTGGCTGAGCACTAAGTTTCCATCTTTTAAAACAGAGGGAAAAAGCTTCTATAAAGAAATTACTGATTATTTCTGACTAATAGTCACATACAAAACTTAATTAACAACTGCTGTTCAAAGGTCTGAAGTGCTGGGATATGCACAACTTGCAAACTGAAACGTGGTGTTTTGCATGCACTATAAAATACTATTTGTGGATGTGAGCAGGGGAAAAACACCCCGAATTCTGTGGAAACTAAAAAAAAATCCTAGCTGTAATTTTCAGGAGAAGTTTTGTTTTTAAGTAGCTCATTTAAACTGTAGAATGAGCCTGTCAGTGGTAGCCCAAAGGCTGATTTAGTCACAAACAAGTACTGTATAATTTGCTTGCTGTGATTTGTGATTCAGAAGATGACAGAGAGAAGTAGTGTGTACCTGCAGGAGGATAATTTTCTGTTTGTTTTAGAGCCATAGGTATTATTCTGAAAGTAGCACCAAATACCTCACATCTGCATAACTGTTTTGCTGTCAACAATCCAGTGACTCTTCTCCTTGAAGGGAGATTACCTTCAAGGACTTCAGGATTAGTGTAGTTAACACTCATTATACAGATTTAGCTGCTGTCTTACAGGTTCAATCATTTAGATGATGCATTGATGAGTAAGGTATTCATACTTTAAGATCAGTTTTGCTTGAAGTTCTTTACAGACAGAAGATGGCTGGTCAGTGACTGGTATGTCCTAAAAGTGAAAAAGTGAATTATACCTTGTCATGGTGGACTGTGGAAAACAATTGAATGAATATTTGCATAGTTTAGAGTTTTTTCTGTTTAATTTTGCAGAAGGTTCCTTGTATAGGAAAGTACTTCATGGGATGAAAGCCTCATCAGTTTGTGCTTTTGACTTGGGAAGGTGTAACTGGAAGCACAAACAGTTGGAAACATCATGTGGTTGAAAATATGTCTATGCTGTGTCCTGCTTGGAGAGACTCTGACTGTTTTCCTAAAGATTTTCTTTGTTATTTTGGAAATCATAAAACCTGTTCATTCAGTAGCAGTCCTGGTGGTTTCTACAGTCTGACTCGTGTAGTCTGTCAAATCACATCTTGACTAAAGATTTGCTTAAAAAAAAAAAAAATAGGTAAAATGAACTTTTAAACCTTGACAAAGGTGAGTATCTGAATTGTGTAGATATTCAGTTTAGAATTCCTTTTGGTTTATTTTCTGAAGTAACAAAATCATATTTAAACCTAAATCTTCCCACTTTTGCACCTGTCCTAAATTTCAATAAATATTGAGCCTGAGGACATTGTTGACTTTGAGGAGTGCTCTGAAACATGCTGTAATTCAGAGCAGTGCGTGTTTGGAAGGTGAGAGAAGTGCACTTATGTTTTCCTAACTGCCTTTCCCAGCTGCTAGGCCGACTGGTTTGGTCTGAGGAGCTGCTGAGATAGTTTTATGTAAGGAAGTATGTTGTTTGCCTGTGATAGCTGTGATATTTACATTCTTCTGAATGTGAGGGTGACTTGAGCCGCTTCCCTTCACTTTGAGTAACTGGCCTTTCAATATTTTCAATTTTGGAATGTGACTTTGTTTTTTAGACATTGCATATTTTCAGTTTCCCCCGAAATTTTCATACAAGTTCTGAGAATTAATTTTATTACATACAACTGCAAAAGTTTGAGTACCAGTATTTGGAAGCATCACTCTTTCCATCTTCATCCACCAGTCTTTCTGGGATAAGTGTGACCGGAAACAAAGGCCACTGGAAAACAAGTAATGCAGTTTGGTTTTCATCAGAATATAAAAATGTTGACATGGGGAAAAATAGATAATCTGCCCCACTTTGTCAGTGGGTAGAGCAGCTGAGAGCAGTCAGTCCATACAGGATGTAAGCATTGACTTGAATGAGACCAAATTCTTCAAGCACTTTTCTTGAAGTAGTTTGCAAATAACAGAACGGTAGTTTGTGATTTCTAAGGTATGTAGCTCATCGATTTAGGAAGTTCTTTTGTGCTCAGTGAACCATCCATAGGTCAATTTGAGTATTCTAGATAGATCAGACTTGTCACTGTCAGTGTTACAGCAGTAGAAAGGTGTTTCATGTGTCTGCATGTTAGACTGGAACTTTGATAACTATAAAAACATTTTAAAAAGCTATTAGTGATAACAAACCATTACTGCTTTGCTAGTTTGAAAGTTTATTCTGCTTTTATATTAAAAGAGTGAATTTTGCTGGTTGTAAAATCTACCAATTTCTTTCAATACAGTATAATTTAAGTTTGCATACCTACCCCACACCCAGTCCTCTGTCTTCCTCTTCTTACTTCAGTATTTACAGCAGAATTGCTCCCTTAAATAACTAGGTCACATATTTGACAGCCGCACCTAAAGCTTTGACGTGAAATTCTCTGCCTACATGTATTTTTAATCTAGGAAAAATAGTCTCTTATAATGCCAGCTCCTGAGATAAATAAAGCATGCAAACTTTCTTCTTTCTTTTTCCTCCTCAGGAAGCATTGATGAAGATGTTGTGGTGATTGAAGCATCCTCCACTCCCCAGGTCACTGCTAATGAAGAAATAAATGTTACCTCAACAGACAGTGAAGTGGAGATTGTCACAGTTGGTGAAAACTACAGGTGAGATTTGCATCTCTCTGTATTTATAGTTTTGCTTGTCTCCCGGTCTGTCACAGTGCTCTATGTGGCTTTAATGTCACTGAAATTCTAACCAGGATGCAGAGTGTGCACTTCTGAATAAAAAAATAAAACCAAGCCCAACAAAACAGATCCCAAACCAACAGAAAACCCCCATGACCAAAAAAAACCCCAAAGCACACCTTTGCCAAAGCTTGACAATTTCAACTAATCTGGAGTTGCTGAGGTGGTTGTAGTTAATGTGACTGATGGGCAGGATTTTGGGAAAGCAAAACTGCACAGTGAGATCCTGGAGAGAGAGCAAGTGTAGACTGAGGTGACTGTCTAGGGATTTGCAGAACATTTCTCAGGAAAGCATCCTGTTTTTTTTGAAGCAGCTCTCCTGTATGCTCTCCTGTTCTTCCATGCCTGTCTGGAAGTTTTGTTCCATATATGTCAGGTTTTACAGAATCTATTAGAGTTCCTTGAAGAAAACTTCAAACCTGACTGAGGTCAGATAAGATACATTTAAAAAAAAGCTTTGTACCTTCCCAGCATCAATAAGAAATGCTTTCTGTGGTAGCTTTAGAAGACTTGAAAACAATTAGTTCTTTCTTCCCTTATCTTCTGCAACACTACAGCCAAAACAGTGGTAGCTCCATGGTGATTTGTGCTATGGGGTTTGTTTGTTTTTAGTGAAGTCATTCCTTTTTTTTCCACATTTTCCTTTTCTGAAGTCTGAGTAAATTGTTTTTCCAAATTGGAAAATAAGAGCCACTTGATTTATGTAAATACTGAAGAGTCAAAGTTTTTTGAGAGTGAAATAGTAAAAATATTAAATAAATAAATAATTAAAGACTGTATCCTACAAAGAGTATACAGGCTGAAAGATCATTGTTTTGAGTGTTTGGGTTTGTATGGCTAAATTAAACAGACTGAGTGCTAAGTGTTATAATAGAGAGATAAAACCATCCCTTTCCTTAGGTATGGTTACAGGCTTATGATTTCCTCTTCTCAAGCCACATTTCAGTTTAGTTTAGGTATTACACAGAGCTATACTTCTTCAAGAAGGGGGAACAAAATAATATTAGAAGTCGAGAGATTTTGAACTTCTTGGACATTTTTGAAATTTGAAGTATATAAATTGTTCTCTGAAAATACTATCTGTCACAAGTTAACAAGCAAAAGTAGGTTTACAAATTGTTATTGTCTACAATTTTGTCATTTATAGACCTGCTGTTTCAGACTGCACAGGAACAGTGTAGGATTTGGAGAGTCTTCATATATTGTTAATAAAGTTAAAACAACATCAGGTGTAATTGCTGCCTGACCATGCTTGTAGGGTTTCACAGTGATTTTTTTCTAAGTTGCCTGTATGTACACGGAACAAGGAACTTTTAAACCCTGTGTTGGGTATTTGCTGTTGTGTTTTGTGGCAAAGGCTGCTGCAGCATTTGTGAGCGCTCATCGAGAGAATGTGGAGTCAGGAACTGTTTCAATGTGACAGTGCTTTTCTGACCATAAAAAAAAAAAAAAAAAAAAAAAGAATACTGGCAAAATGTAGGTCAATACTTAGTGTTAACCTTTCCTAAGGTCTCGTTCCGCACTTGGACACACAAGATCCCACTGGGGCCAGAGCTCTGGCTCTCATGCTCCACGACCTCCGGAGCAGCGGAACCGCAGCAGGATCTCCACAGTCATCCAGCCGCTGAGGCAGAATGCAGCCGAGGTGGTGGACCTCACGGTGGATGAGGATGGTAAGTGGTGTGGTCAGAGAATTCTCTTGTGGCCTTCCTTTTAAAATTTAAAATTTAGCCATTTCCAGTGGGTCTGTTATATCTGATTTTTCTTCCAAAGCTGCCTTGGGTGTGTGTCTGAGAGCTGACTCACCAGGCAGAAATTACAGAGCAGGTTGGAACTACTTCTTGCAAAATATGCACTTACTTCAATACAGCACTATAAAAGGAAAACCTGTTGTTGCCTATGCTTTGGAGTAGTTACTGTTCTTTCAGGCCTTGGAGTAAAGATTTAAAAAAAAATAAAAAAAAGAAAGAAAGAAAAAGCCCAACGTGAAACTAGTAAAGTGTGTTATGTTTCTGAAGCTGTAATCTTTCACTGTTTCCTAACATTAAAACCTGCTGTCACTTACCATGTCTGTTCCTGCTGAAAATCACAAGAGCAACTTCCAGGTATATTCAGAAAGTTGAGAGAAGGAAAAACTGAAGCTCATGTAGATTTTTGCAAGTTTATTTTTTTGTTGATGGTGGTAGGTTTGGAGATTTCTTGGGTGCATATTACTTTTAATGTTTTAACAGCAGTTTTGTTCTGTTGTGGTTCTGTCCCGGAGTTCATCACAACCTCTAGTATCTTGCAATATCTTATTCTTCAAGGTGACTTGATTTTTGGGGTGGATTGGAGAGTTGGAAAGGTTTGGGAATAGTTTTGATTGGTTGATGGATTTTAAGGAAGAGGATGGGTTGGTTTACAGGTTCTGTGTGGATTAACTGTGAAATATCCTGGTTGAAAGGGTGTAGGCTTCTATTGCTTTACTCTTAAAACTCAAATTACAGAATTTAATCTTAAATTCAGAAACCAAATTATTTTAAAAAATATTATTTCTGAACTTCTGTCATGAGTGTGTTTAAGACTAGCTGTTTCTCCCACCTCCTGGAGGAAATTAGTTTTTACAATGAGTCTTCCAGGATTTGAGTAATATTATTTTTGGGTTTAGGTGTCAACCTTCACACATGAACTAGTGTAAAATGATAAAACTTCTGAATTAACACTGTTATAAGGAAGCTGTGCAGTTTATCACATATCCTGTATAATTGCTGATTGTTTTCTAATTTTAAACAGTAATACATTTCTCCACAAATGTTCTCCTGTAAATAAAATTAGTATGTTGGAATGCCATTTTAAAAACCACAGGAATTTACTTCTATGTATCAGGTCATGTTTTTTTAATGTGATGAGTTGGAAGACTTGCAAGAGGGAAGATATATTTATTCTTTTGCTCACTGAGCTGCTGATACTCCTACAAGATATAGAGAGAAATCTTGAAAACAAGTCATATTTTATTTTGAGTCTTTGTGTAAGAGAAGTATTTGAAGTTTTTTGATGCTTTTTTTCCCTCTGATATCCATGCAGACACTTTTACTAAAAAAACCTGAGCTGTTTCTGATAATCTTCCCTTGTATGGTATCTTGTATTCTGAGGCATGTCATTGCCTTGTCATGAATTGGAAATTTCAAACTTACAAAGATTTTTTAAAAACTAAATTTGAATTATGCCACCAAGTATAACTTTAAATTTTAACCTGGTTACAATCACCTAGTAAAGGACAAGATTCATCAAAAGTTTGTATTTCCCAGGATGATACGTAAAATGAACATGTTTGTACTCTTAAAAGAAGTCTCAAATACTGATAATCTGTTTTTAATGTATGTTGAGACTAGATGCCAAGTTTATCTTGTTAAAGCCTTTAGTACTCTGCATCTATGATGACTGAAGTTTGTAAAGTAGTATTGCTAGTTTAGATGTTAGGATGTTCTTGGTGAGTGGTCTAAGAGTTTTTCTGTTCTTTGTAGGCATTAAAATTTGTAAAGGTAATATGTTAATCATAGAGTAGTTTTTCTGTGGGTTTATGGAAGATTTCAGCAAATGTTTTCATCGTAAATTACCAAAGTAATTTAATCTCCTTTCTAGTATATTTTTTTATTTAGCAAATTAAGCTTAAATGTCAGATTTGGCTGGGAATTGATTTTATGTTAATTCTTAAAAAAAATTGAGCAGATCTAGTAAAAAAAAAAAAAAAAAAAAAGAAAATAATTCTTTTTTCCTCACACAAGTTAAACAGAATTACCTTTTGTGGTTTGTACCTGTCAGATTTTTGTGCTATGACTTTCTTAGCTTCTGGCAAGCCCAATTTTGAGAATTTGTTGTAAAATAATTCAAAAGCAGTAACAACAGTAAAAAAACCGAGTAGCTTTTACAGGTTAAGGAACGTGAAAGCTTTTTTTATTTCACTAGAGCCAACAGTTGTGCCAACCACTTCAGCTCGAGTGGAGCCGCAGGTCGTGAGTTCTGCTTCCAGTAACAGTTCCAGTACCTCTACCTCAGAGCAGGCCTCTGATGCAGCTCCCACCATCTCCACCAGCCAGCCCTCTGCAGCTCCAGAGACGACTCCCAGTCTTTCCAGTGGCAGCACTGCTGGTACTTCAGCTGGAGGTACAGAAAAAGAGCTTTCTGAGCTGTTGTGTTGCTTCAGAGTACAAAGGAGGTAGAGGAAGTTCATCAGCATTCTCTTAATTAAATGGCATTACTGCAACATAACAGTAGTAAGTTGAGAGGACAGGAATCTGAAAAAGATCATTGATTTCTCCACAGAGATAAAGGAAATTGTGCTGGAGCTTTCTGCTTTTGCCTGTTGGAACGATTTGGTTATACGAAATCAATCACATCCTTGCTTTCTGGGGAGATGGAATGTAGTTCACTGGGAATTCTCCCATTGCAGTGTATTACAGAGATAGGATTTTTTAATGTGTTGTAAGGAAGTGAAGGATATATGCAGATTCCTTGAACCTCCTGCTATAGATCACTTTCTTGGGAGCACATTATACAGACCTGTACTAGAGCTGGACATACAGGTAGCACTCATAACAGCACTGGAAGAAGGCTGCCCTATCTGCAGGTGAGGTGAGGGACAAAAAACCTGGGCAGGCCTCAGGAATGTGAGGTCTCTGCACACTAACCACAGGGAGAATCTTTCCGTCTTTCCCTGTTGATAACATGCCTTAAATTAGTGAAATAAGGCAAGTGTCAGTTCACGTTCTCCAGTGGTTCCCATGAGTAAGTCACCTGAACCATTCAGTTTTGATTAATTTGTCAGGCATAGCTAAATGTTATTTTTTGTATCCCGTGTGTTTTGTTTTAGTCTAGATTTGTTTTTCAGTTGGTTAATTATTTAATCATGAAGTACAGAGGGGTTTTTTTCTTTATTCAGGGACTGCTTTACAGTGATCAGCTTTACTAATTTCTTTTGCTTGAATATGAATTTTCTTTGTCTTCAAGATGACATAAGAAGAACTTCATCTAATACAACACTGGAAACTGGCCCTCCAGCCATGCCAAGGTTACCATCCTGCTGCCCTCAGCATTCTCCTTGTGGAGGACCTTCACAGACTCATCATGCCTTGGGGCACCCACATACGAGCTGCTTTCAGCAGCATGGCCACCACTTCCAGCATCACCACCACCACCACCACAACCCTCACCCGACTGTGCCACTCTCCCCTTCGTTCAGTGACTCCAGCTGCCCTGTGGAAAGGCCTCCCCCAGTGCCTGCCCCATGTGGAGCAAGCAGCAGTTCTGGCACCACTTACCATGACCAGGCATGTTTCATTCTTGTGGATCTCTCACAATCACACCTTGTGACTCGAGATTTCAAACTGTTACAGATAAGAGAGGATAGAACAGGGGTGCTGAAATATAAATTATTCTGTTGCTCTGCATTGGGCATTATAAAAGGAAACTTAGGAGAATTTGAACTATAATATAGGAATGCAAAAAACCTGAAATTTTATAGAAAGTTACAATCTGACAAGTAATCATTAACAGTTGACCTCTTGATGACTATGATAGTCAAGCAAACCAAAGTACCTTGAAATAACTCTGCCCATCATAGCAGTTTTGCGATGCAAATAATTGAGCTGCTTTGAGAGAAGAAAAATATGAAGTCTAATGTTCTGTATATAAAAGGTATAAAAGAGTTGTGTCTGTAAAAGCATTGTTTTTTAAGGCTCTTTCAGTAACTAAATCACAGCTTTAAAACAATACAGTTATAAGAAAGAACAATCTTAGTTTGCTATATGCAGAACTATCAGTCTGGTTACGTTCTAAGTGTAATACATTAGGCTCAACTGAAATGCTAAAAGTGGGGTTTGCATCCAAATATTTCAATGCACGTAGCTCCTGTATACTTACTGATTTATCTATCAGGGTTTTGTTGGTGTTTTTATGGGTTTGTTTGTTTGTTTTGATTGGTTGGTTTTTGTGGTTTTTTTGTGGTTTGTTTTTTTTTTACAGAATCTGTTGTAATGAATTTAGTCTCTCACCAGATGCAAGAACTTAGTAATAAGAAATGTTAACCACATTTAAAGAATGTTCCAGAGTCAAGCCCTAAAACTTAAAACAATTGCTTGTGATTGTAGTAATTTTTTATAACATCCTGTTTGAGTGTGACTTTGTTTTCCATGTCTGAAGAATTGCTTGAAAAAAGCTGGTTTGTTTGCACAGCAGGCACTGCCAGTAGACTTAAGCAGCAGTGGTATAAGAAGTCATGGAAGTGGTGCTTTTCATGGAACATCTGCCTTTGATCCTTGCTGTCCTGGTTCTTCATCCCGAACGACGATCTACGGGCACCAGGCTGGGGCTGGGCCGAGCCAGTCCCTGACAATAGATGGATACGGATCGAGCATTGTTGCTCAGCCACAGCCCCAACCTCCTCCTCCAGCATCACTCTCCTCCTGTCGCCATTACATGCACTCTCCTTGTAAGTACTGATGGAACAGCTGCCCTGGCAACATGAAAACTCTTCCTGTCTGCTTGCACTCATCTTAGAACTGGCCTAGCAAAACTCATATTAAGAAATGCATTTGTGTAGGAGATTTGAACAGGATCAGTGGTAAAGTTAACATATCTTCTTCTGAGTGACTGTAATAACATTGAGAATTCAAAACTGTATTTACTATGAAAATATTTTTCATCTTCTTTTTATTGTAACAGTGGCTTTTTATCTAATTTTTCGTTGGTTGGTCCCTTGTCCCATGCCCCCAGTGAGTTCTGCTTTAGCAAGCTCAGTGTCAACTCAGTTTGTGATTTCTTTTTTTGGGTTTTGTCTCTACAGAATAATGAACTTGGAAAGGGGTAGGGATTGAACTTTTAAAGTTAAACATCAAACATGAAGTAAAATTGGGAGAGGATTCTCCCCGTTTATTCCACTCTCATGAGACCCCACTTAGAGTACTGCGTCCAGATTTTGGCTCCTCAGCACAAGGGCATAGACCTGTTGGTCATGGAGGGCCATGAGGTTGCTCAGAGGGCTGAAGCACCTCTGCTATGAGGACAGGCTGAGAGAGTTGGAGTTCTTCAGCCTGGAGAAGAGAAGGCTTCAGGGTGGCCTTATTGCAGCCTTCCAGTACCTAAAGGGGCTCCAAGAGAGCTGGAGATGAACTTTTGACAAGGGCATGTAGTGACAGGACAAGGGCGAATGGCTTCAAGAGTAGGGTTGTATTGGGGATAAGGAAGAAGTTCTTCTCTGTGAGGATGGAGAGACCCTGGCACAGGTTGTGCAGAGAAGCTGTGGCTGCCCCATCCCTGGCAGTGTTCAAGGACAAACTAGATGTGACTTTGACCAACTTGGTCTAGTGGAAGGTGTCCCTGCTCATGGGAGCTAAGTTGGAACTAGGTGATCTTTAGGGTCCCTTCCTTCCAACCCAAACTACTCTATGTACCTTTCTCAGTGTGCATCACACAGATTTTTTTCTTCTTTTTGCCAACATTGGCAAACAGAATACTTTTGGCTGCAGAAAATGTAGGTTTCTTGTAGGGTGTATTGCTAGAATCACTTTATTTAAAAATTGCATAAACACATGTTCCCATGTTGCCCCTGTTTACACTGGTGTAATAGTGCTGAAGCACCTGTGTGAAGATACTTTTTAAAATAAATTTACATCAAAACCTGCTACTGACCAAATAAAAAGCACCTGATGTTTTCATTGCAGATGCTTCCTTGACCAGACCTCTTCACCATCAAGCTTCTGCATGTCCTCACTCTCATGGAAATCCCCCTCCACAGCCACAACCTCCACCTCAAGTAGATTATGTTATCCCTCATCCAGTGCATCCCTTCCATCCTTCAATCTCCTCTCATGCATCTTCTCATCCTGTTCCACCTCCACCACCAACTCATCCTTTAGCCAATGCAGCTGCTCCAATCCCACAGCATCTTCCTGCAACACACCAGCCTATATCCCATCACATCCCTGCAACAGCACCTCCAGCACAGAGGCTACATCCTCATGAAGTGATCCAGAGGATGGAGGTCCAGAGAAGAAGGATGATGCAACACCCAACGTATGTCACAAATGTACTCAGAACAATATCTAAACATATAATTCATTCCCTTCAGGTTTGTAAAATGTTGCATGTGAGTCTCAAACTGTTAATTGCATGGTTAGGAACTGTTAGTGTTAGGCCATGGTAAGGAGTGTCTTTGCGTACCGTCACAGGAGCATGAGGAGTGAACGTGCTCCATTACAGCTCCCAGTAGTGTCTCCAGGTAAGGCACCAGTGGGGTGTGGAAGACAAGGGGACTCTTGTTTCTTTTGCCCACTACTCATCCTCTGAATAACAGGAATTCCTTTTCAAGCTTAACAGCCTAAAAGTACATCATAAGTTCTGTTCAAATGTATTCCTTGACAGCATTTTTTGCCTTGTTAGTGATGCTGAGATTCTTTTTCTCTAACTAATGCATTAAATTTAAATAAACAATTTATCAAAGGGTCTGTTTACCAAGTTTATTCAGATTAGATACCTGCATATCATTACTGTGCCTTTATGTCTTTATAAGAGGAGGAGGACATTGATCACATTCACATACAGATATTATACAATGTTGAAATGTAGCTTTGGTGATGCCCTGTTGTTGCTTAACTAGAGTCATTACACTAGTGTCAACAGATACCAGGTCAGTAGTAGCTTAGTATTCAATCACATAGTAACTGAAGGTGCTTTAATTCTGGAGATAACATGTCTAAATATCCAAGGGAATTTCAGGAATGAGCTCTCTAGTTGTTGCTCCTAATTTTGTTATACAAATTTTACTCGTAAGCAACTTAAAACTCATTTAATGCTTGAAGAGAATTTTACTTTAATTGCAACTTTTGAGGCAGATTCCAGGTTATCTATAAAAATATCTTTGGGCAGTAACTGCTCACAAATGGCACATGGCAGACTAGGCAGTGAATGTGAGACAGCAGGATATTTAAGGAAGTATAATAATAGTAGCTATCTTATTAGATCTGGAAATTTTCCAGTAGTTTGAGGATTGGAATTGTGAATGTTGGCATTTCTTAGCCTAGTGAATTTCCTTTCTGTGTACAGAAATTGTAGTCAAATGTTGATAGTAGTTTTTTTTCTTGACATTCTCTGAAGTCATCAATCCTAGGTCAGACAGTGCTGGTTTGCTCAGTAACATTTCTCCTCTGTAGTTTTGATTTGTAATCAATCAGATGGAATTGTTTTGCCCTTGGTCCTTCTATTCCCCTCTATTCCTCATACAAATTCCATGGAAAAATCAGTCTTGTATGTGTCTTGACCCAACCTCACATAAATCAGATCATACTCGGACAACCAGAAACTTGTGTATGTGTATTTGCTCTGTTATTGAATACAGACTTGAGACTGCCAGCAGGCTTGTGCTTCCTTTAGTTCCACGGCATGGAATCTCAAAGTGTTCTTAACATGTTTTTTCACCTTTCATTTCTACAAATAACATAGTCTAGCTGGTATCCCTTCTGTCTGGCAGTGCAGGAGCTAGAGATTGGTTTGAGTCTCTGTCTCACTGTCATGGATACAACAGCTGGAACTTTTTAAAGCCTTGGAATTGGCCATAAAATGTGCAGAAGGCAGTGGATCAGGATGCACTGCATTTGTATGACATGGACTTTGTTTACTTTAAATCTGGTTACCCACTTTATATAAAGACTGTGGGATGGACAGCCAAAGATTGTTACATTTATAGGTTATTTCTGTAATTTAAATATGAGGGTTTTTATTAAAATGTGTTCTTCCAGATTTTTCCCCTGTAGTAAAGTGAAGGGGGGTGAGACTAGAAGTAGGTTCCGCTGATAGTCCTGTTCCCTTGTTGGTCTGTGCCAATTGCAGAAAATGAACACTTCTCACATAATTTATAAGATTTCTCTGAAGAAGTGTCACTTTACAGTGATTAGAATAGTGTGATGTTGAGGAAATTTTTACCTCTCTGGACATGTAAATTTACAAAATGTCTAGTCTGCTTTGTCAGGTAGTTTAAGCTGGTACCGACCCTGAAGAACATGTACTGCTGTTGGCAAAATCCAGGTTTCTAGGTTTTGCAAAATCCTTTCTGCATAGAAAGCAGTGGAAAGAATTACTGATCCAGCTCTTCCTGTGACTTGGAATTGGTAAAGTAACAGCAGTCAGCCAGCAGGAGCTTTTTTTAAGCTTGGTTTTGTTTTTTTTTTTTTTTTTCCAAATCTGTAGTTGTTCTGTACCAACTGGCATGGAAAAAAGCTTTGTGCTCTTATTACCTGAGCCATGACACTTTTCAAGGAAAACATCATCTTATTACTGTATTAAGTTTTCCCTAATTACTTTTGCTGGTATAGTTTTACTAGAAATAAACTTCAGCAGAGCTGTAAATGACTGAATCTCAACATGGCTCTCGTGTGGCCTTCTCTTTCCTACCTGCTGTTTGAGGTCAGGATTAAACACTTTGTCAGCCTTTCTGTAACTGTTGTCTGCTGAGTGAAGGGCAGATCACTCCAGCTGAAGCTGGCTTGGGTTTTGAATATGAAATCTATGTTATAATTAGTTTCTAACTTATACCTAAAGCTGAAATTAAAATACTGCATGGGGAATTTCTTACTTTAAAGGCATTGCAGTAACTTAGTCTGTAACACTTTGGTTATAGGCGTTGTTGTCTTGATATTAACAAATATGTGAAAATAACTCTTGCTGGTTTCTGTTGTTTAGACGTGCTCATGAGCGGCCTCCTCCACATCCTCACAGAATGCATCCCAATTATGGGCACGGGCATCACATTCATGTGCCTCAGACTATGTCTTCCCATCCTCGCCAAGCTCCAGAGAGATCTGCCTGGTTAGTAATCAGACACTGTTTGAGCTCTGTGGGACTGGGGACAGAAGAGCATAATGTGCTGATCAGCGCTGATAATGTTGGCTGTGATTTTAAAAAGTTCCACATGCCCTTGTAGCTTAAAATTTGTAGATGTTGATACGGCTTTAAAATATTGCTTTGAATCCTCAATGTCTTAAATATATTTCTAGTGTTTTTAGAGGCTTGGATTTGAGGTGTAAATTAGTGTATTCTCTCTCCTCTTTGAACTTACTCAAAATTGCATCAGGCCCACTTATAAAGCATGCACTTAAGTTCCACAATATATTTATTATTTTAAAAAAATATTTTGGACCATTAGGGAAGAGCTGCATGCTTAGCAGCTGCTGTTCCCACAGCATGTGCTGCAGAGAAGATTCCACACAGGTAATATTCCTGGGCACTACAGATGTGGAGTCATCTCTAATGATTTCTCATAATAAATCTTCACAGTTGTTTTAAAAAGAACTTTCAGTTAGGGTAGGATGTGTTTAGCAAAGTTTAAATAAGGTCAGAAAAAAGAAATCTGTATGTACACCTGTTATTGTACCTGTGCTGGGTTGTAGGTTTTCCATAGCAGTGGAATTGTACCTAGGAGGCAAGATGTACCTTTCCTGTAATGCCACTTTCATTCATGTGACAGGGAACTAGGAATTGAAGCTGGTGTGACTGCAGCTACTTACCCTCCAGGGCCTTTGCATCCTCACTTGGCCCACTACCACGCACCTCCTCGACTGCATCATTTGCAAATAGGGGCACTCCCTCTAATGGTAAGGACATAGCTTATGAAAGATTATGGTTGTTGCTCATTGTAATTTTGTTTGTCAGGAAAATTGGACATGTATACATCTCTGCAAAGTGCTTCAGCTGAAGAACAGAATACCTCACTGTGTCTGTGTGTTACTCCCAGATAGGGAGCTTGAACAGGCTCATTGTGTGATAAAACAGTAGAAGACATTAATATTTCTAACCTCAGCACCTGTAAAATGAAGCATACTTGAATTAAATTGTCACTTGCATTGCAATGCATTGACCCTCTGCATCTGATTTTTAAAGTTCAGGTTCTTCTTTATTGAGTTTTGCATTGTTAAAAGGTACCAACTTTCCAACCAGCGCATGAGAATTAGTACTGATGCTGTTTTTTAAGCTGTATATGCAGCACAACTAGAATTCCATCTAGAGATTTGATTGTTTTCAAATAATATTTGTTATTCATCAACCTAATTCTGTGTGATAAACTATATAATTTTGTAGCATTAAAAGTAAACCAGCAGGAGAAATGAACCTAACTCAAGAGAGGCTACAATTTACTAAAAAGTTTACAGTAAATACAATGATACAGAGAACTGGTTTTAACCCCCAAAGACAGGTGTATAACCCAGCACCCTGGGACAAGAACAGAACAGTGTTTGTTAGCCTCTGTGCTGAGCACCGTGTGCCCCCCCCCCAGGTACAAAATAAAAGGAAAGGACACCTGTTGGTCTGGATGACGGTCACAGTGCTGTTGAGGTAACGATCACAGTCCTGTCCGGAGGGGCAGTCACAGCCCCGTTGAAGTTCTGGTTCTCCTCTGGATCCAGTGAGTGGTACCAGAAGTCCCAGGGCTAATAACTCAACTGTGGGATTTACTTCCATTATTGCTGTGAAGTTTCTAGAAACCTCAGAGTTCAGCGGATCCTTATGTTACAGTGTGATGAGAAACTAGTTGTATTTTAACTTTAATTGGGCTATTCCTACAACTAAAACGTTACATGGGCAAGTAGTTGGGACCCCACTGTTGATTGTCTTTTTAGCGGTAGAACAAGAGGAAGCTGTGACAGGAATCTTCTGAACTTTGTGTCATAAAATATTTTAGGGACTCATGCCTTTCTGCTCAGTAGCTGCTGTTTCTAATTGGTAAAAAGGGCAGATGAAATAAGGTTCTTTAACTGTAGAGAAATTTGTGCATATGTTTGTGTAGGGATATCTGACACTTATAATGGTAAATCCTGAGTGTCTGAGTGGAGCTAAAGCTGTTGGTATCTTGAGGCCTTGTACACGCTGTACTGACAGAATGTTTATCATCAACTGACTGCTGTAAGCAGCACTTCCTCCAGTGTTTGGGATCTGGCTTGAACCTTGCTGAGATCAGATTGAGTGTTACGACTTTGAAGTTGTGTTGAGTCTCTGACTGATTTTAGGTGTAGTCAGATTACATGCACTAGATGAAGACAAAGGCAGGTTAAAGCACCGCTAGAAGTTATATATGCAAAGAGTTCAAAGCATTACAAATGCCTTTTGATGATTCTACCCCTTCTATGCCAATAATAAAAGTCAAAAGTTTTCATTTGCATGTACATGAGAGTACAGTGGATATGTCAGCAAAATTGATTTTGAATAGAGAGCAAGTAGTTAGTGGAGTTTTTCATCTAAAAAACTTAGAAGTTCAACAAAAGTGCCATAAAAGCAACAGATGAAGTACAGCTGCCATGTTTTTGGTTTTTTCTGTGTAACTTGAGGAATAGAGACAGGGGAGGAGAGGCTGAACTGTGGGTAGAGTCCCTCTGCTAAGTGGTTAATGTTCTGAGGAGGGCTTTCTTTTCTCTGTGAGTTGAGAGGGTACTAAATAGAAATTTCCAATTTCCAGTCATTAGTGATGTTTTTGATGCAGATGTCTTAAACTACTGTTGTTCTTTTTGTTTGTTTGTTTTGAGAGGGGTTGTCTTTTAAAGTAATTGATGCAGTCACTCATCTAAAAATTTGCTTAGTATTGAATTCACTTTCTGAAATGCCATGCAGCCCTGTTGGCAGTATGCGTTTCTGCTGTGGGGAACTAAAACCCCTTCAAACTGCCAGACTAAAGGGCATAATGGATTATTTGGGCTTTATTGACATTAGAATTTTGATATATCAGTTTCTGATTTTAGTTGGATGCAGATAACCTGATCTTCATCTAGTCAGTGCTGAAATGTAGACTGCAGTTGTAATCCTCAAGGAGACAAAGTGATAAAGATATGTGGGGGAAGATAATCAGCGTTCAGCAGCTTTGACAGACCAAATAGAGGGTTAGGGAAACAAAATCTCCTCTTCTACTAGCTTGGGTGAAGAAACTTTTACCTGTTTAAATGTTGCTTCTGGAGGAGTCCTAGATTAAAAGCAGTTAGGAAGAGCTTGCTTCATATTTGTGTAGGCCAGGGCCAGGCTGTTTCCCTCCTTGAGTTAACACAATTACTTTAAATGTGACCGTGGCTTAGAGTAGTTTGTTTTCCAGTTGTTACTGTTTTAATGTGTGTATGCCTCGGCAAGATCTGTCAGATGAATTCCACTGTGGACAAATATCCCCTCTGCTAAACTGATCATTTTTAGGAAGATTCAAGTGAGGATCAATGCATGGCATAACTAATGAAACATCAGACTAGAAGGACAAAGGAGACAAATGCTTTTTGTCTGTCCCTCTGTTCCTCTCTGTTAGAAGCCACTTCAATATCTGTTTAGTCTGAATGCCTTTGGCTCCTTTTTAGGCACTGTTGATGAAAGACTTTTTGCCCTGCAGCAGTTATCACGTCTGGGGGGACAGGATGGCAATTTCTGTAATTTAATAAGCTGACATGGATGTTAGAATACCATCCTTAATTCTGATTACCATAGATACAATCTACAATTTTAAGATCGTATTATGGTTAGTAGTGGTATCTGGTGATGGGTGGGTTTTGTGGGGTGTTTTTTTGGTTTTTTGGTTTTGTTTTGTTTTTTTTTTTAGTTTCTGTTTTATTAAATATATCTTAAATAATGAGGACTATCTACATGCTTCCTTAATTGTTTCAGCTACCTGTTAAGCAAAGATTTAGCATACAGCATACAGGGTATGCTGTTCCAGCCTCTTGACTCTGTTTCTTCTGCCTTTTTGAATAGTGTCCTGTTGAATGGGAATTTTAGGGGTGGGGAGTGTGGTAGGGCAATTATTTGGACTTTGTAGTTTGCTAGTATGGTGTAATAAATCTCTCTAGAGTTGGTGCAGGCTTTGAGAAGACTCCTTGATTTATCTGTGAACCTTGACTGTAGCTTGTCAGTCAGAGGGAGTTGTCTGGATTTTAATGTTTTAAAAAAAAACCACAAACAAACAAAAACCAAAACAAAACAAACAAACAAAAACAAACAAACAAACAAAAAACCACACCCCCTCTTCTCCCCCTTCCACCCGAAAACTAAATAAAAACAACAACCAAAAAAGAAAAACCAAACAAACTTAAAGTTTCGTAGCGTACCTTAATCTCTCTCAGGTGTTACACATCCAGCTTTCAATATGCTGTGCTCCCTTTTTCTTCTGTTGCAGAGCCTGACTGTTCTGTTCCTGTATGTGCTGAATTATTCAGAGTGGTTGAGTTGTACAACTCTTTACACTGAGTTGTAATAATTAGGAGGGGTTTGGAGGTACAGGACAGTAGGTCCCAGCACATTATGGTAGATGTGTGCTGGTCAGGCGTACAGGTGTTGCAGCTCTAAGAGATGCAACTGTCCTGTACCAAAAAAGCAAAACAAATTCCTGTAAAATATCTGAATATTTAAGGCTGTAACTTGGTGCAGTATTAGTAGTTAAAGATGAACTTTAGGTTAGCCTTGATTAGATGCATCAAATACAATTGCATTTTTCAAGAAAAAGGACTTCTGTCATGCAGCTTCTACTTCTTAATATAAACATGAATTAGTGTTCTTTGGGGTTTTTTTAGAATATAGGCTTTTGAAGAGGCTCGTTTTATGTTCCCCTCGGACACAGGCACAGCTGGGTTTTATCTATGCAACAGGTGTTAGTTGTTCCTTCATACGGTGTCTATGAAAACTGCAGCTTTTGCTTGTTCGAATTTGACTTAAGACATTAATTGATTGGCTTTACTTTTTTTTGAGTGTTGATAGTAGCTGAGCAGTGAACTGAATAAGCTTACTATTGGAAGTTGTTTTAATATGTATGAAGATGACACTTAATATGAACCATGGAATAGAAGGTCAGGATGGACAAGATAAATAGTACCAGACAGTAGAAGAATCTCTCCACTGACTATGGCAACTGAAAGGCAGAAAGATCCTGCAAAGACAGAGGGTAGCAGGGAAGAAAACCTCCCCCTGCAGTTTAGCTGTTTCAAACTGTCTCAGATTGTTTGTGTTGCAAACGGCTGTGACTTGGCCTTGAATTTTTGTAGTTGCTGCAGATTTTTGTGATCACGGGAAGTGTCAATAGAAGGTGCAAAACCAGAAACAGATGATACTTGTTCTACTGGAAAAAACCTGAGCTGAAATCTGTAGGTCTAGAGTATATTGCTTTAAAATACATAGCTTCATTTGACTATATCCAAAAGAATATATACAAGCACTTTGTGCAGACTGGCAATGCCTTTAAACTGCTTGCATTCTTCCTTAGCTTTAAACTTTTCCTATTTTCTTATGTTCAATATAAAAATTACTGAAAATAAATTTCATTTCAGTGTGAAACTGTTTCAAGAGAGCTGAAATATTTTTACATTTGAAGCTTGATGGTAATTGTAGAAAAGATTTTAGTAAGACTGTTCTTAGTTGGGCATTATTGATAGTTCTCTCTTGCCCATCTTTTCTCCATCTTGTATCACAAATGTACTCAGTTAAAATCTCACTATATTAGCAGACTGCTTATTCTACAGTGTAAAAGAACTGGGTTTTTCCTTACAGAGATGTTTTTTCAAAGTAGTGTTTTACTTGGCCAGAAGTATAAGCTGTACTGTCAGGATGTTTTATAGAAGAGCCTGTACAGAATGTATGTTCAGATTATTTTGCAGAGTTGTTATGCCATCCCCATCAGCATAATATGAAGGCCTGTTTATTGTCATGAAAATACATATCCCACATGATATTTCTGTTGTCTGAGTTCAGTAGTTTGTTGTGGTATGTGCTATGAGAAATTCCTGGGTTTGTAGTATTAAATTTAGTAGTTCTCCTAAACAGTCTCCAGTAGCAGAATTTGTTCTGAGAGGAGACCTGTCCAGGTGTATGTCACTGCAGTTGACAAACCCTGACTGCTGAGGCAATTGGAACTGTAATTACAGAATTACACAATACACCAGGGACTTTGCAGGTCCTGTGGTGCAGTATCTGCACCATTCCGAAGGATTATTTTCAAATCCTGGTCAATACAAAAAGCAGGCAGTGAAGATCATTTCTGAGACTTAGGTTAATTTTTGTCAGGACTTTCCCTTCCTCTGAGTGGTGGCAATTGATTCACAATGTAACAATAGGCAGTAGAAACTTCCAAATGATGCCACAGGTCTATGCCCAGTAAAAACCCGAGTTATTTAAATGTGTTTTCTGTAACTGGAAGCTGAAGTAGAATGACACACTTATACAGCATGAATTGTACGTCACTGATTATCTGAGACAGATTTCTCACAATTTAGTTTTTACAAATTAGCATATTTTTAATTCACTCCCCTAGACTTCCTTTGTTACAACTACAGTTTGTATTGTCAAACAGTAAGATCTGTGACACCAACAGATACTGCTTACATGAAATGTTTAGAAATGCACATGAATATGCATCTTCAGTTTCTATACCTCTGATTTGTTATAACTTAATGGTAGTGCTGTGGCTCACGATTGGCACTATGAGGTGGTAATTTAACAAGCACCGTGTAAACTGCTTTAAAATAACCAGATTCTGTGTTTCTTTTCTGGAAAAAAAGTATTTAGGGCAGAGAAATCTCTTCTATCCCTGTCAGCTTTTAGTTGCAGTACTGGATTTGAAAACCACAAAAAGGTAGCTTACTGGTCTGTTCTGTGCTATGAGTAGCTTTGTCTAGGCCTGTGCTTTTTCATAATGCATTCATTCAGTTTTACACCTTCATATATGTTAAGCTTCGAAGTGTCTTCTGGAAAGAAGAAAAGCCACATGTGAATACCAGACTTCATGAATAATATGATAGCACAGATATGAAGATAGTTCCCAAGTACTTAATGTTATTTCCACATGAAATGCTGTTTACAGTGCTCACAGTCCTCATATTTATGTGCTGTGTGGGATTAGGTAAAGTGAATCTGCTGATCATTGGGGTTTGAGGTTATTTCACCTGTTCATTAAAAATTGCTACTGGTATGTTTCTGACAAAAAGTCCCATTATTCACTCATCCTGTTGGGGTAAAAATGGAGTGCAGAAGCCCTGCTGTGAAGGGGGTCCCTGGTATATTAACTGCCTTTCAGGTTTCCTGTGTGAAAGTGCTGGTGAGATAGAGCGCTGGACACCGATACTGTGTTCACTGCTTATATCTCTTAATATGAAGGAGATCAGTGGATGCTTGAATGTGGAGTGTATTTAGAGTTACCTACGACTTCAGATGTGAGTTTTGAGTGTTAATTATCTGCCTCTAATTTTGAAGTGTGTCTGAAGATGTTCTGTTGTTTTGGGTAAGATAAGAATTTTGGCTGGTTTTTTTCAGTCTGAGTATTAGCCTTGTTTCTTCTGTAGTACTAAAAACTTAAATTTGAGAATCCATAGCAAGTCCTTTTCATAACTTCATGTGTAGCTGTTAGGTGTTCTGTTTACAGACATAGGTAGATATTTTTGGTGGTTTATACAATGTAGTTTGAGGTTTTGAGACTTGGGAATTGAGTCCAAGCAATATGTAATGCAGATGATAATGGAGGATCTGGTCTCACTTCTGTTTTGCTCCTGGTTATGTTTAGAGGGCTCAGAGTGGTGCTTTTGTTGTGCTTTCAGTTGGAATTGTATGTTCAGACTGAGGAGTATAAATAATGAGTGAGTCAATGAAAGCAAAAGGAACTTAAATTTTGTGAAGTGAACAGTAAAATACTGAGACTGTTCTGAATAGGTTTAACTGAACATCTGCTGTTTGAATAGGTACCAGACATGGCGGGCTACCCTCACATCCGTTACATTTCATCGGGATTGGATGGAACATCATTCAGAGGCCCTTTCAGGGGCAATTTTGAGGTTTGTAATAGAAAAAACTAGATAAATGTCAAAACGTGTCATGAGGGAATATGGGGAGGGTGTGTATGGTAGAGCTAGTTCTATATATAGATATAAAAGAATCAGAAAGAAAATACCCTTTATTTCTGGAATGCCCTCACCACGGTGAACTGGAACAAGAGCACACTGAACAGAGGGTCAGTCAGAGGAGCCCTGGAAAGTGCAGGCGTAGGTGGCTATTAACAGACAGGACATCTTGCTCTGCCCTCCACCCATCAGTAGGATGGAGTAGTCACATGATATATTGGTAGAAGGTAGTGGTGTCTCTGAGTAACTGTGCCAGGATCCTCCTCGTGGGGCTGAAACCTGGCCACTTTAACAGTGCCGTCCTGTTATGTAGTGCAGGAGTTGAAATGGAGTGAAGAAAATAAAACAGGAGAAAACAAGGTATCAGATGCAGAGAGTTAATGACCTAGTCCACTGAAAACCTCTTCAGTGACATCTCATGGTTCCAATAAACTCATTGCTGGAGAAAAATAAATCAGTCATTATATTTCAACTTAAGCAACTTTTTTTTTTATTCTTCTAAGCCTTAATGACTGTTAGAAACTAAATATTTACATAGTGAATTTTAATTGCCTTTTCCTTATTGGATGCAAAAGTACATGTGAACATACTGATAACTATTCCTAGCTGACAAAATTCTAATCTTTTTAGTAGTAAAATAGTGTTTCCCTATAACTTGAAATACCAGGCAGTGTTGTGTGGGTTTTTCTACAGAAGCCCATCACTTTTCCCACACAACATGCTCTTTTTGGCTTTGCCTTTATTTGAGTAAGTTGGGAAATAAGAGTTTGTCATTCTAAAATTGGAAATGGGTTAAAATAAATTTTAGTGTTTACTCGAGGTAGTTGAAATAGTAGTTTTTACACTGTTTATTCCTTCATGATTTTTAGGAACTGATTCACTTGGAGGAACGATTAGGCAACGTGAATCGTGGAGCAACACAGGGAACTATAGAAAGATGCACATATCCACATAAATACAAAAAGGTGAGGATTTCTCAAACTGTGGCCTGTCTCCAATAGTTCTTTGAGTATGTAATAATGGTTGTGGTTAGCTTAAACTTGCAGAAATGTCAGTTTCAAGGAGTGCATGTTTTCTCTATCTTGAAGTTTCAAGGATTGTAAGCAAAGCTTGCAATGGCACTTCTTTCCCAGGGAAAATTTAACATTTGTTCCTTAGATAAAGAGCTACTGTAATGTGATAAACAAAAGTGGTTTGATATGATTAACTTGTCCAGCAGTTATGAGAAGCCTTGTGAGCAACAAAATAACTACTAGTAATAGCAAAATTGTCAACAGACTTCAATGAGAACACATAAAATATTTAAAGACTTTATTTTTTGCAATAAATTGTTCCTGTGCCTGCTTGGTATGTATCAATTTAACCCTTACTCTGATCACTGGAACAGTGGGAAGGTACAATTGAATCTGGTACACAATTTTGACAGCTGAGGTTGTCTCTCAGTTGGAGTTTAGTATATGATAATATAGAATCCCATCCACACTGACAGTTCTTTCACACTTGATAAATAGTGACTTAAGATACCACACTTGAAAGGATTTTTTTTTTCTCTACATGAATGAAAATAGCATATTTATACATAGACAGTAAGTAAAAGGACTGGTTGCAGCAATACGAAATTATATTCACAGTCCTGCAGATTTCTGTAATTAACAGTAGTTAAGTCTGAAATGTCTGAGTTTTGCTCCAGTTGCTGGTTCTTGATTAATTTTGGTTTAAATACATTTGAATAAATACTACAAAATGTTTTCAAAGAAATATGTGTTGAATATGTATCAAAACCAGATTTTACTCAGTTTGTCAATAATGTCATCTCTACTAATAAGGTAACAACTGATTGGTTCTCACAGAGGAAACTGCACTGCAAACAAGATGCGGAGGAAGGAACAGAAGAAGACACAGAGGAAAAGTGTACCATCTGTTTGTCTATCTTGGAGGAAGGTGAAGATGTCAGGTAAATAACATTGAATATCAGAATGTGATGATAAATGTTCTGGCTTTGACACCACAGTCAAATATGGCACACTTGCAGGACTGCCTGGGTGAACAGTTACCTTAATTAATGTCTGTTGTTGAGCTAACGAAATAAAACAAGTTGCAACTGAAAACACACATTGTTCAGTCTGTATTGTCTTTAGGTAGAATGTAGGTTATTTCATTGCAGTCTTTCATAAATTGACTGCCTGTGTTATAACATGAACCCAAGCTGATACCCTGAATTAATCAGGACTATCACTTTTAGTTTTTCTACAGTTATGCTACTTAAGCTATAACAGATTGAAATCAGTCTAATACAGCAGAATCCAGTTGATGCTTGACTTCATTGAAGCCCATATGCATTTCTTCTTGGAACTAGACAGAATGAAGGTTCAACAGGAAAGGCTGTGAAACTTTTGGGAAAGCATGGACCTGCAGAAAGAACAGATCTGAGTAGCAAAAGCCGTGTTGTGTTTTTCCAGCGTGTGTGTGGGTGTGGAAATGCTGCACTAACACCGATGTTTCTCTGTTCTGGTGACAGGCGCCTTCCGTGTATGCACCTTTTCCACCAAGTCTGTGTAGATCAGTGGTTGATTACTAACAAGAAGTGCCCCATTTGCAGAGTGGACATTGAGGCTCAGCTGCCCAGTGAAAGTTGACACTGCTTTCCAGAACTCTTGTCCTCCCGCTCGCTCCCTCTCATCCCTCCTGGTACTGCAGTCAACCAAAGATGGCATGACTTACCTGCGCAGATATCGAACATTGAACCTTAGAGTGCTGGCTCTGCTACATGGTACAACTAATGCTAGACCTACAGTTTATTGTAGAAGACAGTTGAGTTTCAGTGTATTTATAATTTTTTTAAAAGTTTTTTAGGTTTTACGTTTTTTTTCTTTAAATTCATTACTGTATTTTTGCATGGTTCCTTGTATTGCATTTGTTTGCACATATTATGGGCTTTGTGACCCCAAACTTGCAGGCAAGATTAGCTGCTTTAGTAAGTAGAATTGTGTGGTCTCTTTTTCCTTGGTTTGTTTTATGTAGTATCAAGCTTTGAAAGTATGATTTCACTTATTACTAACCTCGAATTCCTTAATTTAATCAATCATATATTTTAGTTTAAATGTATAAAGATCATCTAGAAAAGGATAATATTATGTATTGAGACATTCCTTAATTAGGAAAAAATGGCTGCTGTATATTTACAATATCAGTTCTGAGTCAAATAACATCCTTAATACTGGGAACAGAATATGGACTATATTCAGTTTGACTGATACATATAGCATACTCATCACCAGAGTTTTTGTCTGATCAGATTTTTGTGTTTGTTTTTAAAATTTCAGCACAATGCAGATATATTTGAATGTCAATATTAAACATTTAGACTGCTGTTCAGATTGTATTTATCATTTTCTTCTATGTCTAGAAATTTGAATCCCTAACTTAAATATATGCTGCTGTGAAACAGCTCTAGTGAACACTAAATGTTGATTTCAGTTAGCTGGATTGTAGATACTTGCAGATTGAAAGACTTATTAGGGAAATGGAAAAAGAGCTTAGAATCTGTTTGGTCTTCTGCTAACTTAAGTTGAAGTATCTGCGCACACTGAGAGTTGGGTTTTTTGTTTGTTTGTTTGTTTTCTTGTTTGTTTTCTTTTTGTTGCTGTTTGGGTTTTGTTGTTGGTTTGTGGGTTTTTTTTAATATAAAACCATTCAGTAAGGACTTTAAGCTGCAGGGTTTTTGTTTGGGTTTATATACATGCATTCATAGAATTTCTAAGGATTCCAGGCGTGTCTTGGGATTTTTATTAGATTTAAAGTTAATAAAGTTAGCTAAATCCACTTGTCTCTTGTTTTTATTTTTCATTAGTAAATTGAAAGCCTGTAAATTTCTGTAGAAACTGAGACACAAATTATGTGGTTACCTAGTTTTTGCCTTGATCATAGATTCCCTCTTTATAAATTACCAACAGTTCATCACTGATTGAAGTATTTTCTATAGTTAAGATTTGCTGCATAATATAGTATATAGAATTAATAATGTACTAACATTTTGCCTTTGGAGGAGGTTTTAATCCACATCAGGATTCAAGTTGCTTCAACATTCTTTCACATATAATAGATTATAGTTTATTTAAATGTGCTCAACATTGCAAAATGCAAATGTGCAAAAACATTGGGACAGTATTACTGTCACTTTGGAAAAGATGTTCCTCGGGGATCATAGATAAACATGTCAATTAGCTTGCATTAAGCCACCTGCTTTGTAAGTGGATTGAATAATAAATACCTTCAGTTTCTCTTGTCTTTGTCTTTCATAATCAGATGATGTGTACAATGGTTTACAGTAAATCTAGAAGATGAACTGTTATGTTTACACTAAAAAATGATCCATTTATAAATATTACCTTATCTAATTTGATGCCTGTTTCTGTCTGGTTCAAGCAGCTTCCTTTTTTTTTTTTTTTTTTTTTTTTTTTTTTTTTTTTTTTTTTTTTTTTTTTTTTTTTTTTTTTTTTTTTTTTTTTTTTTTTTTTCTTTTTTCTGGCAACAAACTTAAAACCTCTGGCACTGAGGCTTTAAGTGGAGGGAATTTTTATTCGAGCATGTATGTGATAAGTGGACCTTCTCAAGCTTCCTTGTGTTGCTAGAACTGAACTTAAAACCACTTTGTGCTTGTAAATGGGGGATGAGGGAGAGAGGCAGTCCAGGATCTGACTGCTGCAAACCCTCCCATGGGTTTCTGCTAAAGCTTTTCGACATGGTGGCTGTAGGAAATTCAAAGACTGGAGTTGGAGCTTCATTGCTAAAAATGAATAAAAGTAGCTTGAAGGACTGACCTGACACTTTGCTTTCCCGTGACTGAAAAGAAGGGAAATTAGTTGACTGCTAGTTTGAAGACTGATTATGTTCACTTCTGAAAGGTTCTAAGAAGGTACTTGAGAGACATGGGACAAAAAACCCAGGGCCTCTAAAATAATAGACCTAGGGGTAGAATCTCTTTTGGCTTTGTTACAGGACAAAGAAGCACAGGTTTGGGGGGAATTTTTTTTTTTTTTTTTTTTTTTTTTTTTTTAGGAAATATTTTGTGGGTCTGATTTGAGTGCGTGGTACTAGAGGTATTTTAGTGGTCTATGATTTGATTTGTTTTGTAAGAGCTACTGATACTGTCTTGCTTTTAAATGTATGCATAACATTGTAATGTGATGTTGAACACTTTTTTTGTCAGGAATCACAGTATTCTGATCTTAATGCTATTGCAGGGGCTAAAAAGCTGCAGCTTACTTCTGTTCCAGAAGGTTGTGACTTAACCGTAATTTAAGAGAAGGAGAAAGATTAGGCTTTTCATTTTGAAAAATTTCCACCACTTACTGTGCTTTATATGCTTAGATGCATTGCCTTAAGTTTTCTGCAGCATCTTTGACTTTGAAGATAAGATTCTCAACAGTATGCATCAAGTTACTTTTCATATGAAACTTCATTGTCAAAAGAAATCCTTTTGTATGCAATAAATAAAATGTTAGACTGGTATCATTCAAAATCTGTTTCTTATGCAAGTTTTTTTTTTTCCTTTGTCTCCTTTTGGTCTTGTAAGTCTTGGTCTTTAAACATTCCTTTGGGTACATGTATTAAGTGTTATGGGTACTAGCTAAGAAAAAGTTACCTCAGTGAAAGACCGATATGTAGCCCTAATTAATTAGGTGGATAAGCAGTCATGTGGAACTTTGGAATTCAAAGCCAGTTTGGGGGGATTGCAGAAGAATTGTAATTAGACTTTTCAGTCAGTTTAGGCAACTATTGTAGTGTTAAGTCTCTGAATCTCGGGACTCGTTATTAAATTAACTTAGTGAAATTTAAAGTGAAAGCTGTAACATGCAGCTGCTCGGACTGGTTTCCTGCAGGGCGTTGTGGGAAGCTGCTCCTTTGAACGAGGTCGGTGTGCTCTGGGCGGCCCCCACAGCTGCCACACAGAACCACCTCGGTGCGAAGCGCAGGTGCCTCCATTGCTTCGCGGGCCCCTCCCCAGCTGTGCACGGCTGCTACTTGGCCGTTCCCCGCAGTGCCGCTGCTTTTGGGGTTAAAACCTCCTTTTTTGGGGCCGTGGGCTGGGCCGATCCTGAGGGCGGGGCCGCCCCTCCCCCTTAGGGCGTGGAGCCGGAAACGGCGCGGACCGTTTCCTGCTGGGGCGGGGCCTGGGCTGGCAGGCCAATGGGACGCGTGCATCGTACGAAGTTAGCCAATGGGAGGGCGGCACGGGGTTTAAAGCGAGTCGCGGGCGATGCGGCACCGGCTACCGGTTCTGCTGCAGAGGGAGCGGAGCGGGTCCTTCACACCACCCTGCCCGGGATGGCGCTGCCCGCGGCGCGACGCGTGCCCGTGAGTACCGCGGCGGAGGGCAAAGAGGGGCTGCGCCGCCGCCGGCCCACCCCTGGGCCTCCTTGCCCTTCGGCGGCGCGGGGGCCACGAGCTGGGAGAGCGGGGGCTCTGTCCTGCGGAGGGGTGGCGGCTCTCGGCGCTGGGCCCGGCCGGGACCCCGCGGTGCTGGGGCGGCCTGGCCGGGCGGGGCGGTGTGAGGGGCCCCACCGTGCCCCGCAGAACGGGCCCTGGCCCCGCATCGCTCCCGGCCTTGGCCGCCCGCGCCTCCCCCGCCGAACGGGAGCGAGAAAACTAAAGCGGTGGATGGGGGAGGTGTGGGAAGGGACTACAGAACCTCTTCTCTGTGGTGATCGTTTAAGAGTTTAAACTGAACTTCACGAAGAGCTTGAGCCCTGGTGCTTTCTTCCCTGTGCATAACAAAGAGTATCGATTTTTGCGTACATAGCTTAGTTTTTAATTAATATGCTATATGTGTAACAAAGAACTTGCTTTTTGCATCTTCTTGGGAGTGCTGCTATAGTTACAAAGTGTGTAAGTACAATAAAGGGTTAAATAGGAGGTGAGCACTCTTAACCTTACAAAGTATGAGATCGGGTGCATTGCTTTTATTTTACAACACAGTTCAGAGAGTACAGTGCTCTGAAACCTGTAGAGAGGAGACTTTCCTCTGAATGAATGTAGGAAATAAAAGCTGTTTGAGCGATAGATAGCAGGCACAGGGTGGTAGTGTGTAATGGATTTGGGCATTGGCAAATCGTTAGTCTCTGACTCTTAATTAAGCATTTGCAATTTTACTGTTTTAGGTTACTAGAGGGATGGAGAATGCTGTGTCTGACCTTAAAAGTAAAGCAAAAACTCACCTTCCTGGCAGAAGGGCTGCCTTGGAAGAAATCGGAAATAAAGTTGCCACAAGAGGAACACGCCTAACCAAGGTAAAGGAACATTTGAAGTCTCTGTCTAGGGAAAAGTTGGCCCTACTGTATTAATAATAGTTGTTTTCACTACAGAGAACAGAATGCCCCAAAGCATCCATAAAACCCGTGAAAGGACCTAGCAGGACCACAAATGGAACTGTACTGCATAAAGCTCCAGCTGCTGTGAATCAAGTCATTAAAGAAACCGTTGTTCCAAAGGTAGGAAGTGATGATTTCTGTTTTGATTTTTAATTTGCTTTGCAGCTTGGAGCTCTGACTTCAGAATAGTTTGTCTGTAAGAATAGTTTGTCTGTAGCTGTATCTCATTTCCATGCTGAAAAAGCAAAGCCTCTGTACTGAGTTTTCAGTTTAATGCATGCTTTACTTACAGGCTGATGTTCCAAGTGGCGGAACAAGCTGTTGAAGTACTGGATGAAGTTTCTGCTTTAGCTGGCAGTTAATGGAAGATCCTTAGGTTCTGTTTGTGTGATATCTCAGTGAAAACTTGCTGCACTACAGTGCAAGTTTGGTTTCAACTTGTGTCTAAAGAAGTTGTGGTAGTAATTGGAGAAACATGGAAACAAAGGAACAGCGACACTTAGGCAGTAGAGACATGTGTTAACAGATATGGTGTGTTCCTTAGGCTTTGTCTCCTGTCCCTATGGATGTATCCATGCAAGAGGAGGATTTGTGCCAAGCCTTCTCTGACGTGTTGCTCAACAATGTGGAAGACATTGATGCTGAGGACTCAGAGAATCCCCAGCTGTGCAGTGACTATGTCAAGGACATCTACCTGTATCTGAGAGAGCTTGAGGTACGATGTGTCACAGCTGCATTGCTGCCTGCAGCGTGGGGTGACCTCCCTGCAGCGCGGGGTGACCTCCCTGCTCACACAGCTCTGTCTGTCCCACCCCTCAGCTGCAGCAGTCTGTCCGCCCCCATTACCTGGACGGGAGGATCATCAACGGGCGCATGAGAGCAATCCTGGTGGACTGGCTGATCCAGGTCCACTCGAGATTCCACCTCCTGCAGGAGACGCTGTACATGTGTGTTGCACTCATAGATCGCTTCTTACAAGTAAGATACCTTTCAATTCGTGTTCAGATCAGAAGACTTACTCAATTGCTGTATTTTTAAATGGGTTTGGGATTTATCCTTTCTTTATAAATTTAAGAACCTACAAAATCTGCTCTTTGTGTAAGAGCTACTGTGGTGTAGCATCTTCACTTTGAGGCTGCCACCCTCTTTGAGCCTGTCAATACAGACACTTCTGACTCAGAATTTATAAGAACGAGCACTGCTGTACTGTTATAGTAAACTGATAAATTTGAATCTTTTTATTTAGTGTTTGACGTTTTGGGTCCTGCTTTTTAAATTGCTGTGTTGCAGAGTCATCCAGTACCTCGCAAGAAGCTTCAGCTGGTGGGTGTTACAGCAATGCTTGTTGCTTCAAAATACGAAGAGATATTGTGTCCTGAGGTAGCAGACTTGGTTTACATTACTGACAATGCCTACACCAGCAGTGAAATAAGAGAAATGGAGATGATTATTCTTAAAGAATTGAACTTTGACTTGGGGCGGCCTCTTCCAATTCACTTCCTAAGAAGAGCATCAAAAGCTGGGGAGGTGGGTGCTTGTCCTTGTTATCTAGCACTTTCCTATATTTGTAAAGTGTATCAGGACTGCTCCTGGCATTTTTATCATGTGATCTTACTTGCCTTCGGCTTAAATGCTGGATCAGGAAATACTCAGCTCTGACACTCCACCGTGTGGAGTAACCACGGCAGTGTCACTGTGGCAGCCAGTGGCACTTCACCTTTGTATTTACTGGGGCCTATGTTCAATCTTAGCAGCACTAAAGGTTAAACTAAACATACCTTAGAGCAGAACCCTTGCTTTTAATCTTTTTAACCCTCTTGATCAGGGTATTTACTTGTAAAACACTAGCAGTGTTGCAGTTACAAATAACTTTTGGTTGCAAATACTGTTATTTCGGAATCAAAAGATAAGCTTT